ATGAAAAATTGAATAATGTTAATTGATAATTATGTTAATTATCAATTCCTAAATTAATAAAAATTAATAAAAATTATTTTTATCTGTCTATACGATTAGTACCAACAGTACAAATATTAACTTCGATATAAAAACATTTACATTTAAAATATTGGATCGAAAGACATAGTATATATAACAATGGAGGATTTTGAATCGTTTGAATTAATTTATGCAATTCTAATAGAAGATAATGAATTGATTGAATTAGCACTAGTGATGAAAGTTGGATTTTACTCATTTTCTTGGCAAATCTTTGTTTTTCATGCAGGTAAATCAATCTTTTTTATATTTTTAATATTAATGCCTATCTTTATATTGAATCAATTTATATGCAATTTATTGTATAATCAATTAAGACTACGATTCGAAAAAATTAAAAATATGGTACAAATTATGGTACAAACTAAATTTTCACTGCATTTAATATTATTATGTTTATTATTAAAGAAACAAATAATGATAATTATGAAAAGAATTTTTGGATTAAAAAGAATTATATATATTAATTTAGATAAAATCATCATTTTTAATAAAAAAAATAAATATAAAAAATAAAAAAATCATCATTAATTTTTAAATATTGAGGCTATGTTATTTTATGATAAAAATTTTATGAAAAATTAAAATAAATATAATATGTTGCACTTTATATTTACGTTATCACAATAATCATTAACTGCTATATACAAATTTTATTCAATGTGTTATAAAAATTTTTATTGTTAAAACAATTTTTTATAATTTTTTTATGATTTTTTATTGTAATAAATGTTATTACACTTTATTAGCACTAACCAATTCATGCTACTCAGAGGAATTTGCTCTACATTGATAATTTGGTTTCTTTATGATGAGAGAGCTCAAGATCCAAACAATGACCAAGTCGCTTATCAATACGACAGAATGGAATAAGAATATTATGCAATACATAATAATAAAGTAAGTAAAATATAGACAATAAATTATATTCAGAATTATATGCAGAATCATGCTATATAAAAAATTATTAATATATTAATATATTTTTTGAGACATATTAAAAATAACCATAATAAGCAAAGAATACAAAAGAATATGGATATAAACATATAGAATATTTTAGAAATAAATGACCCTTTAGAGAGAGGAGCATATTCTACTCATTGTAGAAATTTGTACGAACATGAATGCAAAAACTCTTCTTTTTTAAATATAAACACATTTGCTTAGAGTTTGACAAAAATACTTTTTATCAATTGAAAAAACATTAAACATAATATTTTGTTTGCAATAATTTATATTAATACATTAATGCCATCTGGGTTTATTTAAAGATGTTTAAAAATTCCCACAATATTTCAAAGTATTTATATGTTCTGTTATGTTATAATTATTTATATGTATATTTATTTTTAACAATCGTATTATATAATATTAATAATCTCTAATTTCGCAGGAGCCATTAATCAACGTTTAATTCGAAAAGTTAGAGTGGATATTTGTGCAAATTGTTGCAAAGATTTATTTATTATAATAAATAAATCTTAAATATGTTATTAGCCCTATTCTCGACTTTAAGTCTTCTGAATAATACATGCAAGCAAAAAGAAAAAAATACTACAAATATGATTTTAAACCGAAACTAGTTTTGAAGATATTAAAATTATTATCAACAGATAAAATTTTAATAATTTTAACACAAAATCGCAACTTTATATATTGTTTTATGTACATATAAAATTTTATAAATGTTTGAAAGAGATAAAAATTTAAATTAAAACAAATTTAAATTTATATTTATAAATATAAGCATATGATAGGCATTTTTAGATATCATGTATCTACAAATGATATTATTTATGTGCTACTACAATTATTTTTACTAAAATTTTAATAAAATTTAGTAAAATTTTAGTAAAATTTAGTAAAATTTTTAAATTGTAATGTAAAAATATAGTATTAAATTATAAATTTTAAATTTTCATGTTTTAAATTTTTAAATAGTATTAACTTTTAAATATATTTAAATTTTTTCGATGTGACGATTGGATTAGGATGTTAACATTATTGAAGAAATAATTATGTGCGCATGTACTTTTCTGGTTTATATATCCTAAAGATTTATAGTATGATACTTTAAATAGCTTCTTTTAGAAATTAATTTTAATTAATAATCATTTTATTAAAATGCCGTAGTGTCATAATAATTTTATTATAAATAATAAAATTTTTGTTATAAGTTAGTGAAGTTGGACAGTATTAATGCATAATTTTGACTTTTAAATACAAAACTTGTATTTGTGTTTAAATATATACAACGTAGTATATTAAATGTTGAAGAGTAAGGACCAACGTGCACAGAAAACGTTCCAGAAAACGTTCCATGCTCCTTAAATTCTCTATCACTCGCATGTAGTATAATGGGAGAACTATTCTACAAACGCTACGCACGAGCGAGGACGAACGAAAGTGTAAGGGGCACGAAACAGAATAGATCTTGTTTGTACATGCATCTTTATCCCCTTACTCTTTAAATAAAGGTAAATACTCCGTTTAAATTTACTATGTCTATGATATACAGATTATATGTACCGTATCTGTTATTATTTTTTATCACAATATGACAATATATTACTGATCAACTAAATTGAATTCTTTATTTTGTGAATATTACCTGTATTATAGCAATTAATTAATATTAACTAATTAATAATTGATAATGATAGATTTTAACTGTTACATATAAATTAATTTACTTATTTCTTAACGAAAATTTAAAGTGTTTATTTTACTTAAAATTAATAACTAAATTTAATAATAATAAATTAAAAATTACATGTCTTTAATTATTAATTAATTGAAAAAAACATCATATTTAAATCAAAAAGACTTTAAATCATGAAAACAAAAATAAATTATTGCAAATGATGATGGTAACATATATTTTTCTGATTTATTATACAGATATTCTTATAATACAATTGTATTTTAATTACACAATTTTGTTTATTCTTGAATATAAATATTTGGAAAAAAATAACATATACATTGTAAATAAATCAATCATATAATTTTTTTATCAATCATATATTATACCAAATTATATAAGATTTTTTTTTTATATAAGATTATAAGATATATATATATATATATATATATTTACTATTTTAAACAAAATTTTTTATACTTTTTTATGTTCGAATACTTTTTTATGTTCGAATACTTTTTTATGTTCGAAAATCGTTTTAGAATCGACATTTGTTTATATACTAAATTTATATCGCTATTTGTATTTTTATCGATGACTTTATTTTATATAACAAATTGTATGATTCTATTTTTAAAAAATACAAATTTTAGAATCTTAATTAACGTGTTTTCTATTACAAAAAATGCCCGCCACTGAAAATAATATAAAAATTAACAATTGGTTAATAAATAACGAAATATTAAAAAAAGAGGAAGACAGCAATTGATAAATAAAAATATATATTATCGAGCACTAAGAGCCCATAAACGCGGATGGCAATGCGTAAATTTTTACGAACATTAATTGTTCGCGAAAAAATTTTTTCGCGAACAATTAATGTTCGTAAAAATTTACGCATTGCCATCCGCGTTTATGGGCTCTTAGTGCTCGATACTAAATTATTATGTTGTTTAAAATACATAGAGCCGAATTATATACCAATTTATTTAAAAATATATATAATTATGTATAAAATTTAGATACACATATTATATACAGAGTGTCCCATTTTGTTGTGTCCCACTCCAAATAATTTTTTTATTTTTAATTTTAGAAAAAGATAGGTATATGATAATATATCATATACTTATACTAGCAGGCTCACCGATGCGCCTGGTTAAAAGTCGGAGCTGATTTATGCGAGTATACTCTATAATTATTACATTATAAAAAAAAATAATATAAACATTATAGAAAAAAATAGTTCAGGATTTTTCAATTCGATTTTTGATTAAGAATAACATTATGTACTTCTTGGATGCTTTTTAAGATACACCTTATATACTGCTGGCTCCTCGAATTTGTCGAAGATATTGCAAAAGTCTTAATCATAAGTGTAATAGTCTGAAAGATTTGCTATGGAATTGGTATGGAATCGGTATGGATCCGCAATGTCTACATGATTTACGAATAAATCTCTAATATCGATTGAATCTATTATTGAATTGCATCTAGTCTTGTGCTCAGAAAATACATTGGATGACGTATTATGTTCGATTCTCAAGTAAAGGCTTCCAGATTTTTTCAGACTTATAGGCGACGTCTTTTACCCATATTAAATCATTTTGGAGTCCGTAAATTAGCAGATAATACAGGGACATCATTATATGTGTAAAATTAAATATGTCAAATATACACATATGTAAATATATGTAAAATTAAACGTCAAAGTATTTAATTAAATAAATATGTATTTTATATTAATATATGTCATAGTCAAATATATTTAAAAATTGGAAACAAACAGTTAATATAAATAATAATTTGCTCGTGTTTCTTTATTTTGTTTATAACTTTCATGTGACTTAATAATTTTCAATATCAAATTCGAATTTGTCAAAACTCTTTTTCGACACCTATGTTTTATTTTATTTATATAATAACAAAATATTGATTTTAGACATTAAATAAACATAAAATCACGACTGGGGCGAGTAAATTAAAATATAAACGGCAATGAATTATTTGAGCATAAAGAAAAAATAATATTATATGGAAAGATACAACTTTTTAATTACTGTAAAATGTATTTCAATATTACTTTAAAATTAAGTATATAAATTATGAGAATTAAATTTAAACATGTATTGACATTTTATTGTGTTTATTCACTCGTAAGACGCGTATTAATCTGATTTCATATTATTTTGATTTTCAAGGTTGTTTTCATAACATGCTTATTACGATGTCATATATCGAACGTTGCCATTTCTCGGTAGTATCCCAGAACAGTAAGATCAAGTTAATATAGATATATTTTCGATAAAACAAAATTTATGATAATAAAGAGTTAATTATACTTAATTTTTATCTAACATAAGGAACTAAATTCTGTGATCGATTGACATCATAATATACAAGGTAAGTTACAACAAAATAAAATACAAACCGTAGTATTTGTCTTCAGAGACAATCGTTTTTTTAAAGTTATCGTTTTTATAAAGATATTATAGCAAAAAGATTTTAATTTCACAAAAGCGTATATATTATTATATTATCTTAGAAATAAATTAAATTTAAAATAAAGCATTTAACAAAGAAATTTTTTTATTAAATGTCAATGTGGTTAAATCTAATCAAATTAAGTTTATGCTTGTTTAAACTGCTTTATTTAATACTGAATTTATTGAAATATATAACGAAAAATTATGATTCTTTTTCTTTAAAGCTCAATTTTTTAAATAAAGGATTATGTTATATTTTTTATATACTGTTTCTCTTTTTATACTCGTAGTAATAATAGCAATAATTAAAGAAAATTTATAATTATAACTATGTAATATAAAAACTTGTGGGAAATATACGATGTGTCAAAAATGATGAATTTGAATAAATTTGAAAATATTATCTAAAAAGCGATATCTTTGTACATTTTTTATTGGTATAATATCTTATCATTTATGTAACTCTTATAAAAAAATAACATTATATAACATATATTGTACGACATATATAGCTGCAAAATTCATTTCTGTTGAGTTCTTCCCTCGAAATTTATCTTTTATTCTACTTATATAGTAAGAAAATATTGACATTGTAAACATTTAATATGAGAAAAGTCTATAATATCTGGCCAATAAATTAAAGTATAAAAAGGAAAATGAATTGTTTGTTTATAAGTAAGAAAATAATTTGGTAAATGTTTACTTTACGTCACACAGCTCGAAAAGATTTTATTTTCAGATATGTTGTAGAGGACACATTTACTAAGTAATACATCGTTTGAATTTTGTGGCACTCTCTCTTCGTTCTTGATATATTCAATTTTGAAGTTTCATACTTACTTGTATTATCTTTTCGTTACTTTCTAAATATGTTTATATTTTTGTGTTTACATTTCCTGAAGTCATCTTTCCGAATATATTTCAGAAGGTTTTAACCGCTTGTTTATCAAATATTATTATTAACAAAAAGAGTTTCAAGAATAGAATATAATTTTACAACATCATGTATGTTTAAGAAGAAATATAGGCACACACACACACACACGCGCGCGCGCGCGCGCGGGGGGGGTATAAGGGAGGGTCTTCCGTCCCCACCCCCCTCCCGCATCTATCCAGCCGGTAGGGGACGCATTGCGAAGAGTTTAATCACAATAGTATATACATATACATATACATTTTTTTTATCATGCGGGAGAATACTGAATGCATAAAAAAATGATCGGTACATAAATGTCATTTATTTGAATCGACCGTATCGAAGGCCCGAATATAATATGTATAATAGTAATAATAATAATAATAATAAATATGTAGCTTTAATAATAATAATAAATCCATACTACATAACTTCAGATTTTAATTTGCTTTAATTGTACACATTATATTCGGATTTTAGATACGATCGATCCAAATAATTGACATTTATGTACCAATTAATTTATTATGCAGTCGGTAATCTTCCGCATGATAAAAAGATTGACACAAGCATTAAAACTCAACCTTTATATATATATATATATATATATATATATATATATATATATATAAATGTGTGTATGTATTATATATATATATATATATATATATATATATATATATATATGTATGTATACACATACATACAAATTATTTTATTTGTTTTTTTTTCAAGAAGAATAGATGCTTACGTGGATATATATAAAACGAATGAAAGAGAGAAAAAAAGTAACATGACAATCCTAAAAGTATTAAGTTGCAGTCTAATATTCATTGTCGCGGCGGTTCCTTTCATTGATGCAGAATACAAACCGCGACATTATAACATCCACTTTATACTATATGACATTCAAGAGGTCTTCCGTGGCGAATACAATGTCAGCATTTATATTCCTGATGACACGCAACATTTATATTTTTATACAGAAAATCTGTATATAATTACAACTACTATAACAAACAATACCCAAATATCTAAAGAAAATGAAGGGAAAGATTTTCCTCATAGGCCTAAGAAATTCATCTATGACATTGAAACGTATATAACCACCATTTCCTTTCCATATATTTTATCATCAGGATGCTACACTCTGTATATGAAATTTTCCGGTTTTTTTGGTGAAAATGGAGGCTTTAGAACTTTCTACAATCAACAAAATGATAGAGTGTGAGTAATTTTTAAATAATTTAAGTGTTATAAATACGATTCTTGCGGTAATTATGCATAAAATATTAATATGAAGATTCTACTTTATTTATTCATCGATTTGCTTTATTTTTAAATATATTATAGAAGTATGTGTGTGTGTGTACACATATATTTGTCATTTTTTTAAATTGTATTAAATTGTATTAAATTCTATATAAATTAAATTGTTTACCTTTTTCTATTTACCTTTAATTTACCTTTTTGCATTTTTTTTCAACTTACGAGTTTGATCGCCATTTTTAAGTTTCGTATTCGTGTTCAGGAGGTAAAAATACGTAGCAATTGGGTATTCTTACCCATTATTTCATATAGGTGGGTATTCCGAAGGATTACCTTATTTTTGTATTTATCATTTTTATCTTATATCTCCAAAACTTTACTTTTATATATATGAATTTGACCCTTATATATATATATATACACGAAATTATTTAGAAAGATCTTCCCTAAAACATATTTCAAAATAAAGCAACTCGGAAAGGGGGCCACTTTTATGCATAAATACTTTAATAACTTTTGAATAAAGAACGACTGCCGGCTAAAACCTTCAGAATATTAATTAGAGATATGAGCTTAACATCAATGACACATGTCAATGACACATTTGTACAAGGGTGAGCCCTTTTTATGCATAATTACCGTATTATGATAAAATATATTATACTTATTAATAATTGTAGTATGAAATATACATATTATTCTTTTAATGATATTTTTAATAGTTTTGTTATACATTTGTATATATTTGCATATATTTTCTATTTATCTTTCTTTCTCTTTTAATTTCTAATAACTGAAAATATTTCTTGAATTAAAAACATTTTCTTATTAAAAATATAATGTTATATATGCTAGGAGTTTGGCCGCAACGCATTATCACACATTTGGGATTCGAAGATTATTTCCACTTTTAAAGGATAGTATGTATGCTAGTTATAATATTTCTATAAAGCATCATGTAAACTACACAGCTTTATCAAATATGCCTATGTGGGAAGAAAATGTGGATGAAAATAATATGCAATGGACACGTTTCGAAACTACACCTGTAATACCCGTACACTTCATAGCGGCGAGTGTAGTACATCTCGGCTTTATTCTAGATACAAGTCAGAGTGCCAAATTGTGGTGCGGAGGAAGCATGGAACCACATATGATATTTGCATACACAGTTGTTATAATAATTGAGAAATTTTCAGATAACGTGTTTCCGTATAGGAAAAGTCCGGAAACAAATCATATTGCGATTCCGAAATTTTGCGAAGTATTAGATGAAGAAAATATAAAGTTCGGATTCGTTCTCTATAGGTAAACTTACATTGATTTGAAAAAAATTTCTACGTTAAAACTTAATATTTTTTCTCCATATATTTAATATTATAAAATTTCATATCTATGTGTGTATATATAATTGAAACATATATAGGGGAGACCGGAGACGAAAGTAACATTTTCTATATTATAGGTCACTAATTAATTATATCATCACTAGAGATATAACAAAAAGGATTATATATTAAAAAACTTCATTCATTGTTCTATTATTATATCTATGTTTCAATCTCAAATAATAGATATTTAAAGAGTTACTATAGCTTCTCGCAAGTACATTGATTGTTACTTTTATCTTGGAGGCTTGGAACGAAAGTGACATAGTCTGGGGATAAAAGTACCAGTTCTTATTTTTATTAAAAAAATAAAATATGACTTTTTTGAATTTAAGGCAACTTTTATTATAATCTTTCATTAAGCATAATAATATAACTTTTATTATAAATTTGTATGATAATAAAAATTAAAATAAATATTTATTTTTATAATCTTTGAAAAACTTAAAAAAGAAATAATCTTTGTTAAGCAAAATAATTATAAGTAGTATCATTAAATAGTTATACTTAATATCACATCAGTTTTGTACTTTTTTATGTCTAAATAACAGTTTAATTCTAAATAATAGTGTAAAAATTGTATAATAACTACTTATAAAAAAACATTGGTATCTATTCCGAATCACAATTATGGCATACGTAATAAGAATCGCTTTTGGTACAATCATTATGGGACCAGCCCTTATGCTCTAAGCATTAAAACATGTTACTTTCGTCCACAGAGTATCGTGTTACTTTGTCCTCAAACACATTTTTTAGAATAAAAGCATTATAATCTAAATATGATGCAAGACTTAGTCAAATCAACTATATAAACTTATGAATACATTTTCGAATAACGCACCGCAAATAATTACGCTAATATATACACATTAATTAGGCATAGATATAAAAAAACTAAAACAAGAAGTACTTAGGTGAATAATGCAAATACGCTAATTTCACTCCTGCATGTGCAACCGGCGTGATCATTCTACAACAATTAGCTAAAAAGGAAAAGAATTGGGATGTACGCGTTTGATTATATAGTACAAATTATTCAACATATTGTGTAGTTTAGTAGGAGGCTTGTTACCTTCATGACGCTGTTAATTTTGTCTCCGGTCTTTCTTAATACATTTTTTATAACTTTTTCATTTATTGCACAATTTTACTGTATTTCTGAAAGATGTTGCTGTCGCAAAATCTGATTAAGATCACACGAAGTGATTACGAAATATAATTAATCTCTTATATAACTTTCATATAATTATATTCATAACAACGATTCTCTGAAAGCGTGTCTGGTGATTGTGCAACTGACAATGAGTAGCTAAGAAGGGACTCTCGAATTTATTCCAATATTTGTGAATTATTTTTAGAGAAGCAGATATTATCTTTAATCAAAAAACGGATGATGAGATGCGCAAAATTGAAATAGTGCGAGTAATAAGCTATAAGGTGATGCACGAGAGAATTTCTAATGCAATCGATAAGTGGCAACCCTGGTTAAGCAAAGGTCTCAGTACGTTCTTTGGAATTTATGCCGCCAATGAGGTTATTTACATATTTAGCGTTAATTATATTTCAATCTCACACGTACATAATCAGAGTGATATAAAAATAGTCATTTCTATGTACAAAAAGCAATATATTTCTATATATTTCTTTATATTATATTAAATTAAATTAAAATTTTTTTATAAAACTTGTGTGATCTATAACAATGATTAGTCAAAACTTGTAACATAAGCAAGCACACTTGGATTAAAAATTATATATATATATATATATTTATATATATATATATATATATATATATATATATATAAGGCTTATGTACTTTTAAATATATTTAAAAATACATAATTTGAAATGACATCGTTGAATAATCTTGAATATATTTTGTTAAACATAATAAGAAAAACTGAATGTACGAATGTGTTTAAATTTTTTGTAATATATTGTAATAGTTTTAATGTATGCTGCTTTTGATTATATATTTGCTTAATTACATCAAAATCTTTTCGCGCCCAGACATTTCCGCATTTTCGGATACAAGATTTCTTTGTGGTTCAAATGCAACATGATGTTCTTCATTGGGGCACCAAAGACACATGGCCGCTCACAATCGAATCAGGATTCAATAGCTCTTTTGAAATTCCTCGTTACATTAAAGGTAATCAAATAAATTATTGTTCATAAATTCAAAATGATATATATAAAAAACGTTATAATAGAAGAAATAACTTACTTACTAGTAATTTATTCATATTATTAATTTTATTATTAATATTATTAATTATTTAAGTATTGACGTTTACCAGAAAAGTATAATTAAAATTAAGTTTTATTTATCATACATATAAGTCAGTTACGTTTATGAATTTATATATCCAAATCATATAGCAAATTTATTTTATACATACTGTATTTTACTTTATGATGTCAATTTTCGTAGCAAGCATTATGTTTCGCACATTGCAAATTATATCTCCCAAAAAGATGTTGCATACTTATATGAAGTATTTACGAGATCAGTGAGTAATATGTATAGATTTCAATATAATTACATTATAAATTTAAATACACAATTTTAAATGATTTTTTACTTTTATTCTATTTATAATTATTTTTTGTGTCACTTTTTAAATTTTTTTTTGAAATTTATTTGTATTTACTTCTCAAACTTTCTTTATTCTTTTTGTGTTTCTAATTTAATTCGTACTTAATTTCTACTAATAATTTTAAAACTTTTTAATTTTTCCCGTGTTAAATTTTAATTTTTACTTTATTTACATACTTACTATTATTTTAATTGTCTTTTCTATTCATCAATTATTTTAATTTTCGTGTTTTTCCAATTTTTTTTAATTTCTTCTTTTATTTTTCCTTTTTTAATTCTTGTTTTTTTAAAAAAGTTCTCTTTTATATTCTCTATTTATGTCTTTCTGTGACACATTTATCTTTTTAATTTTTATTTTATTTTTTTAGTTTCTATTTACCCTTAATACTTTTCTTATTGTTCTAATTTTATTTGATATAATTTATACTATTTTCACTTCTTCTCTTTCACTTTTACTTTGTGCAAAAATCTTACTTTTTCGATATCTTTTTAAGATATTTTCTTTTATTAATTTTTTCTTATCATTTACCCATTTGAATTTTTTAGTTCTTACGATACTATGTTCTTAAACATTGTGCAATCAGACTTGAATGAATCTTTCGGAAATCATTCTTTTGATATAGACAGAATAACTAACTGGACACAGTTAAATTATTATCCTGTGATAAATGTGCAAAGAAATTATAATACTAACTTATTGAACATATACTTGTTGAAGATAGTGGAAAATTTTACAAATATATGGATACATGTGAACATTACTACGCAAACGTATTCCAATTTGAAGAAAATTTTGCCAATATTATGGCTAGGACCAAATAATTCGCACCAATTACAAATTACAGATTTCATAAACCAGAGTGATTGGGTACTAGCCAATTTACAACAAAGTGGTAAATACTGACCGATAAATTTATTATACTTTTACATATAATTGCTCTTTAGAAATTCATATTTTCTTTAAAAAATATTTAAGTGTTTTCTTTATACCATTGATTCTTCTCATTATTCTGTGTACAAAGTAATAAGGTAATCATATAATAAGTTAATTAAAAAAACATATTTATTATTTATATGTATTATTATCATAAAATGTTTATAAGATATTTTATGTAAAGTTTTGTAAACTTAAAGTATAAAATATCTCATAAATTATTCAATTTTTAGCTATCCTTATAACTTTTTAAGAGAAATATTGTGAGGAATTTAATTATAGAGAATTAAAGTAATTCCATTTTAAAAAACCAAGATTTTCCTTGACACCTACACCCAAGATGCAGTTAATTTTCTTATCTTCTTATCTTCTCCAAACCCCACAACTTTTATTTGAAACATTCTTTTTCAAAACGGCTGTTTTCGAGTCATTACTATATGAAAGTTAATCTTGTATAATTCAATGTATGTTATTTAAATTATAGAAGTAGTAAATTTTTTATGTCAATTTATTAATAAGACAGAGCACATTTTTTCTAAGTATCCAATAATGATTAAAAATAATATCGAGTAATTTAATTTTTGGATAATTTATTATATTTATCTTGATATTAATAATCGAAAATATATTTATACATATATTTATACATATGTAGAAAACAGCTATTTTTTTCCCAATTATTTATATTTTCTAAATTATGTCTCCAGTTATAATAAAATTTTAAGTGCGATCTAAAAATTGTATATACATTTAAATGTTACGCGAAATAAAGCCTATAAGAATTTTCACTTGATTAGCACGAACGTAGTCAAAATAAATTTAAGTTGACTTTTTTAAAATATAGCTCATTAAATACATTGATTTATCAACATGATGATTTAATATTGTCAATTCACAATTTTCTTCTAATGATGATTGCAATTTTTAACATATAATTTCTATTATATTTTTTTATACGCTTTGAAAATAAGAAGCCAAAAGATATTTCAAATTGTTGACTTTATTATATATATATATAAAAAAAAAAAAAATTAATCAAATTTTTAAAAATTTAGAATTATCGACAGGATGCTATCGCGTCAATTATGATGTCAAGAATTGGAAAAGGCTTTCGAAATACCTGAATTCCAAATCCTATAGAACAATACATGTTCTCGATCGCGCTAAAATCATCGACGACACATTTCACTTTGTGATGACAGGTCGACTAAATTTTACTATATTCTTGAATATTTCACATTATCTATGGCAAGATACAGATTATATCGCATGGTATCCAATGTTCAAAAATTTGGAATATATATCGGGTTTCTTTGCATTTCCAGAAAGCGTACCAAGAAAGGTATAAATAATATTAATTTGTATACATAAAAATGTTTCATGTTAAATAATTTATATATATATATATATATATATATATATATATATTTACAATATGTATAAATCAACAATATACACAACATATATTTTAAAATTTTATATTTTAAAGTTTTTTTTGGTAAAATATATATGAATATATACACAATGTTTAACTGTACAAAGTTTTAAATTTTCATGCAATCTTTTGTTTGGTATTAAAAAGAATAATAATAAATGTTAAAATGTATTAATTAGTGTATTAAATAATAATTACGCATTTATTTTATATGGTTTTGACCATATAAAAATATTATTAGATTATTTGTATAACGTTTTAAATAATAGCATATGCGTGCGAAAAAACTTTATCAAATTTTATCAATTCTTTTATAATATATAAATTAATACAAAAATATATATATTTTGTAGAAGGAAATAATAGAACCATTGAATTTGATTTTATCGGAAATAAAATATCCCAATTTTAAATCAAATATAACCCAAGAGAGCGTTTTCACTAAATGTTTGAGACAAGAGGCTGCAAGATGGTTATGTAATATAGGCCTTAAGCATTGCTTGTTACAAGCAAATAATGAATTAAAATCGTATTTTTTCAATCGTACCAATTTTTCACCAACCAAGTAATTACATTTTGGAATTGTTTTTTAATCATTTTATAAATAGATTTCTCTCATACTACTTTGTAAAATATTTGAAAAATTATGTGATCAAGAGATAAAATTACAAATTTTAATAATCTATTATATTTTATTCCAAATATCGTAGAATTTGGATTGAATGGAAAGAATGGACATTCTGCAATGGTTTGATGATAGAGGATGACAATATTTGGATGCAGGTGTATGATATGTATTTGAAAGAATCAGATTATAGTATTTTAAAATTTTTAGCTTGTTCCAAAAATGCTTCAATCATTCGCCAATATATGCATTTAATGGCTAATATGACAAATGTAACAGCTATCGACCGTATAAGCAGTTTTTGTACTATTGTTGCGAGGCATGCAAAGAATGTTCCAGTACTTGATTTCATTTTAGACAATTTAGAGAAAATAAAACCCAAGTAATGACTATTTTTTTATAAATACGTAATACTTATGCAATTATGAAGATTTGCTCCATTTTCTAATTATATATATCTATCATTTTGTTTTTATAGAGAAATCGGTTTAGTTACAGCATTAACTATAATCATTAACCATGTATATGCTAAGGAACATATTGTCCAGGTAAATTTTATATACTTACATATAGACTTGTATACACATGTATGTACAGTGCCCGTCAACGATCCTGTCCTAAGCGCGGGGCAAAGGGAGCGTAGAACTGTCTAATCAGCCGACAGTGATTATGTTTCCCTTGCCCTGCATAGGACAGGATGTCGTTGATGCATTTTGTACATGCACATATATATAATTGTTTATTAATCTTTTGTCTTCTCAATTATTAATACATATACTATCTAAACATATTTTAAATTTATCATTTCTATCTAAACATATTCTAGATTTATCTATTATATGATATATGTATTAGAATTGCCGATTATTGACACATTAATGGGACATTATTGAAACATTTATATATAAATTATGAAGTTTTTTATATTATTAGTTATTTTTATTTATCTTAAACACAACGCAATTTCGAAAGACGAATATTAAACAGTTTCTCTCTTTAATGGAAGTTGTTACAAACTTAATAATATATAGAAATGAGATCTTATCAGGCTTGCGTATCATTGCATAATTATATTAAAGAGAAATTATATGTTATTAAATTATATTCTTACATTATGAAGCAAAATTAACATTTACATATTAATCTAAAAAATAATTTATTTCAGATAAAGAATTACGTGCAAATTAATTTTAAAGAAGATCTAAAATTTGCGATTTACTATCATGACATGGTAAATTTTAGAAATTTTAATATACATATTTCTTATTATTAATTTATTTATATATTTATTTTTATATCAAATAATTATCTTATGATAATTATGCTAATATCCAAAAATTATGACTGATTTTTATAGTATGAAAAGAAATTATTATTAAAATAAATGTTAAAATCTGTTTTAGGTAATTCAATCCTACCTTAAAAATTTTGTAGAGACAATGATTTATAAGATAATAATGAAAGTAAACCGCAAATTAGAACTACGTTGGAATCAAATAAGGAGTCAATTGCACAAATATCGATATCTTATAAAAAACTATGATTATATATTGAAAGAAGACTTGGCTGATTAATCAATGAAACCAGGAAATATATATACGATAACGAAATGCATGCACATATTTATTTTTAAGATATGAATAATTTTTGTATTTTTACTTATTCATTTTTATTACCCGAGAAAAAATGGATTTATGTAATTATATTATATCACATATAATTGGCCGTATAAAATTTATCAAAAATAATATAATATAATTAAAATAATATAATAAAATAATATAATAATATAATAAAATATAGTAATATAATAAAATAATATAATAAAATTGATCAAAAATAATATAATAATATCCGAAAATTGACGCAATATGATCATGACATATATAATCATATATCTCATTATCAAAAGTAAATCTATATTATCGGTTATGGAAAGATCTGATAATATATGTTGTATTATATGTCATAAATAATATATGTTGTATTATATGTCATATATATTAATTGTATATATATTAAGTTGGGAGGTGTTGCCAAACGTTGGCATTTTCTCAACGGTAAGACCGATTGATATATTAATGGGACATTATTGAAACATTTATATATAAATTATAAAGTTTTTTCTATTATTAGTTACGTTATTTTTATTTATCTTAAACACAACGCAATTTCGAAAGACGAATATTAATCCCCTACGACGAATTTTTGTCTGGATTAAAACTTGTTCTCCACTCAACATTCTTCAAATTTAATGATGTCTTTTACAAACAAGTTTTTGGCACACCCATGGGCTCCCCTCTTTCCCCGATTTTAGCGGACATTGTTATGCAGGACCTAGAAGAGAAAGCTTTGTCTTGCCTTTCTATACGTCTTCCCTTTTATGTTCGTTATGTTGACGATATCGTCCTTGCAGCTCCTTCGTTCTACATCCCGTTAATTTTAAAATCTTTTAATTCTTATCACGACAGACTTAAATTTACCATCGAAATTGTTTCTAACAACACTCTGAACTTTCTTGATGTTTCTATCATTGTTAACAATAATTTAATTGAATTTAATTGGTATCGGAAACCAACGTTTTCTGGCAGGTACCTTAACTTTCTTTCTCAACATCCTGTTTCACATAAGAGAGGGGTAATCATCGGTTTAACAGACAGAGTGTTTAAATTGTCACAGCCTCGCTATCATGAGATTAATTTTAAGTTTATCATAAATATTCTGTTGAATAACGGCTATCCACTGAATTTTATTTTTAAAAATATTTTTAGAAGATTACGTTCCCTCATTAATTCCTCCCCCTCCTGCTCTATCAACACTTCTGTTTTTCCTAATACCCTTTCCCCCTTCGATTCTCCCTCCTACTCCCCCCTTCCTTTTTCATTGTCCCTTACATTCCACACCTTTCTGTCCATCTTGCTTCTTTAATCAAAAATTTAAACATGAACTTGGCCTTTGTAGTTCGTAACAAACTAAACAAATACATTAAATTATACAAAGATCCCTTAAATAAATTTAACCATTTAAATGTAGTCTATAAAATTGAATGCAAGGACTGTTCTGCGTCTTATGTTGGACAGACTGGCCGCCAATTGTCAACTAGATATAATAAAAGAGCATAAGTCTAATATCAACAAGCCTAATGACTGCTTATCGGTGATCTTTTCCCATAGAATTATGGGACATGAGTTCAAATGGGATGAGATAGCCATTTTGGATGAGGAACCGTCTTACAGAAGGAGACTTTTTTCAGAAATGTTATACATTGCCATCCAAAACGAAGGCCTAAATGTTCAAACTGACACATTACGTTTAGATGCATCCTATACTCCTGTTATCAATAAATTTCAATTTTAAAGCTTTCTTTCCTGCCTCACTTAATTTTTGTATCTTCCTGGTAATGCCATCTAACTTGGGCAACTTGAAAAGTTTCTTAAGTCGGAAAGAAAACAACATTTTTTCGGAAAAGTTTTATTTTATTTTTCAATATAATCTCCTTTTCAGTCAATACACTTAGTCCAACGATGCTCCAATTTTTTCAAGCCATCCAAAAAGTACGTTGGCTAAAACTCTGTAAAATAGGCGTTCGTGGCGGCGATAACTTCCTCATTCGATGCGAATTTCTTTCCTCCGAGCCAAATCTTCAGATTTGGGAACAAAAAGAAGTCGCATGGGGCCAAATCTGGAGAGTACGGTGGATGAGGCAGCAATTCGTATCGTAATTCGATCAATTTTGCGGTGGCAACTGCGGATGAATGGGATGGTGCATTATCGTGGTGGAACAACACTTTTTTCTTGGCCAAATGAGGGCGTTTTTCCTTCAATTCTTTGTTGAAACGGTCCAGTAAGTCGGCGTAGTATTTTCCCGTAATCGGTTTTCCCTTTTCTAAGTAGTTGATGTGGATAATGCCTTTAGAATCCCAAAAAATGGTGGCTATGACCTTCCCAGCCGATGGAACTGATTTGGCTTTCTTCGGGGCCGGTTCACCAGACAAAGTCCATTGCTTCGACTGTTGTTTTGTTTCGGGTGTGTAGTGATGAATCCATGTTTCGTCCACGGTCACATATCGACGAAAAAATTCTCGTGGATTGCTCTTAAACAGATCCAAACACTGTTTAGAGATGGTCATACGCACGTGTTTATTCTCCACCGTAAGCAAACGCGGCACCCATCGCGACGTCAGCTTTCTCATGCCCAATATTTCATGCAGGATATGAAATATCCGTTCTTTTGAGATGCCTACTATTTCTACTATCTCACGCAACTTCAAACGGCGGTCACTCATAACAATATCGAGCACTTTACTGACCATTTTTTCATTGGTAGCGGTTTTTGGGCGTCCACTGCGTGGTTCATCATCGGTGTTGGTACGACCACGTTTAAATTCGTTTACCTAAAAACTGATGGTTGGCAATAAAGAAGTAGATGTGCCATGAACCTCTTGCAACTCTGCTTGAATCTGCGTAGCTGTTTTCCCTTTCAAAAAAAGTGTTTTATCACTGCACGAAACTCCTTTTTATTCATTGTTGAAAAAATGTTTGACTTGCTTTGTTTAACTGCTCCCAACTAAGTGACGAATTGACGTAATTGTCTGAAAATTTTACAGCAACCATAAAAGATGTCGCACTTTTCGGTCATTGCATCTTTTTTGCGATACGCGTGCTATCTCTGTGTGACTTAAGAAACTTTTCAAGTTACCCTTATTCTGCCTCATTATTTTTTCCCACTCTTCCTTCTTCGCTTTCATATCCATTCGTGTTTGAAATGTGTCAGGATTCACACCTTTTCTCCTTAGTCTACTAGCTGTTTCCTTCCGGGTCTTGCTTATTCCGATTGACAGGTACTCTCATTTATTTTATTGTGTCTTTCGTAATCAGTGATAATTCTTATGCAATTCAATTCATTATGTCTTTCTAAATCAATGATTTTTTCATTGAATTTTTGCATGTGTTTCGGTGATGTGTGTTGCTCCGTTATGATTTCTTTTACAGATCTTTATTTAGTCTGTTTGGAAGTATCTTTACCACCTTTCTTTCTTCCTATTATTAAAATCTGCAATTTCCTGGAATGAAGCATTTTTGAGAAGATACATTTTCATTCTTGCTTAACGGATTATGTTTTCGACTGCTTTTTTACTAGCCCTGGAAGGCTGGCAGGTGAGCATCACATATGGCCGTTTCGCGTGTGGAAATTTCCGTCTAATATTTTCTCTCTTTATAATTATGCGTGCGCCTTTTATTATATCCGATTTATCTTATATTGTTCTTGTATTTTTTCTGTTTGCGTCCGTGAGATCTCTATTTATATCGACTTTATTGCAACTTTGACTTATGTTTTGTTTTTATAATTTTCCGTTAATTTCGAATTTTTTCTGTTAGACATTGATAATGATCCGAACAGGCTCGAAACGCGCGTCTGTCGTTATAATTAATCGTCAACTGATTATTTTTATAAGTTACATGCGTTGACTTATTATATATTAAAATTTTCTTTTAATTGCAGCTATCATTATCCTAGCGCTGTGGTTTTTTTGCCTGTTCTCCTCAATTCATTTTGATTATCTTATAACCACTTTTATAATTTTATATTTTTTATATATAATTTTATATTTTTTATATATATTAATATTTGAAATTTGGCGTAATATGATCTTATCTTTATGTAATCATATTTTGCTACATTTAATTATGTATGTAAAACAGATTTTGATCGAATATGATCATATATATATATATATATATATATATATATATATATATATATAAAATAATATTGCGCCAATTTTCGAATATTATTATATATAATTATATAAAATTATGCATATTTATATCTGAACATATTATATTCTTTCTTTCTCGGGTAAAAATATGCATTAATGAATAAAAAATACATATACAATAACGACAACAAAGCGGTTAAGTTATAACAGAATAAAAAGTTAGTGAATTCTATATAAACAGATACTGTAAACAATATCACGTTTTCTTTCTTTTGTGAGTTATTTACGCGTTTTAATTCTTATAATATTTTTACTTTTTTAAATATTAATTGTGTGCGATAATTAAAAATGAATATTTCTTTTAAGATGAATATGTTTATGTAATGCACGTATAAAGTATTTTACAATTATCATACAAATTTTAAGAAACATAAAATAAAACTTAAGATAGAATTATAAATAATTTCAAGAAAATAAATAATTTCAAAGAGTTAACGATTAATGATAATTATTTTTATTGAGCAGAACATGAAATACAACGAGCTGATGGATGTTACTTCATTGTACTCGACATAAGAAAAAAATATATAATATATATACTTTTTCCCTATATAGGATACAGTAAATCATATTCAACACCCATACAAGAATTGTGGGTTGAACTTTGCTTCGTGTTGTAAAGTATATGCCTGGACGCAGTAAATTCCCCTTATGAGGGGGCTCCACTTCCGGAAGATATAATCTAACCCAAACTTATTTCCGATTTAAAACTAAAATATTAAGTTTGAGTTACATTATATAGCACAAAACAAATTTTCGTTTCGAATCCAACTTTAAATATCTCAGAAATTATCTAAGAAATCGCCGATTAAATTATAAGTTACTCAGGATCATGTCTTTGTCTTGATAACATATGGTCAAGGTCAAAGTTAATAATAATTATACATGAGGTTGCTCTCTTTCTGTATAATTATCAACAAAAAATCTTCATCAATGTAAAGCAAAAAGTTAATTATAAACAAATTTATTTTTATCTAATTTTTTTACTAATATTGAAATGTTTCTTTCGATTTTACCGCATTTAACGAATGCTTCATTACCTATATAAGTATATATTTTGCATTAATATTAAAATGGCATGAAAATCAAGAGGAGTAAGGAGCAAGCAATGATCCTTCACATGTACATTAATTTATAATAATTATTCCGCATGGAAACTTAGATCGTTGACTGTAGTGATTCTATTCGTATATAGCCCAATAAAAAAATCGAAATTTGAGGGATTCATTGTATTCCGCTAGGATGTCTCACCTTGATGTTGTCCTGAACATTCTAAATAAAATAATCCGCGCGTACTTGCGATCGATAGCCAATAATAATCATGATCCTCTTAATTCTCAAGCTAATAAAAAATCGGACTTCGTGGACTCGCGAAACACCCTGCGTCTTCTTAGCGTCCAATCTTACTTCTCTGATCCTCCTTGCATCCTCATTACTTTCTTCTCGCATCATCATAAAATATTATATATATTTTAATAAAATATTATATAATTTGTAACAAATATTATGATAGTATCGTGATACTATCATGTATCTATACTAGCAGGTACCGTTGTGCGCCTAGCTAAAAGTCGGTGCTGATTGACGCGAGTTTACTCTATAATTACTTTATGAAACATTACAGAAAAAAATAGTTCAGGACTTTTCAACTCGATTTTTGATCAAGAATAATATTATGTAATTATTGGACGCTTTTTAAAATACATCTTATCAAAGTTGAGAAGTAACGCGTTACTTGCAACGCCATTACCGTTACCGTTACTTTCTTTCGGATAGTTATTTTTTTCTGTTTGTAATGGTAACAGTAACGTCGTTACATTTTTACAGTAATGGTAACGAATTTAACCGTTATTTTTATCGTTACTTTAATTTTGTAATCCTGGATAGTATCTCCTAAATAATTGCAAAATTTATTCCTTACAAAATAGTTTGCAAATATTTTGGAAATTTATATACATGCATGATGTTTTTCTCTGTATTTATAAAGCTAAATTACAAAAAATGAAAAATTGAATATGAAGAACGTCAATGATAGAATAATTTATAATTATCGAATATGTAAAAGCAATAATTATATTTTAAAATCAATTATAATAAATACTATAAAATAATAATTATAATTTAAAATAAATTAATTTAATTTTTATATTATATTATAAAAAGTAACGAATCGTTACTTTCTTAGTAACGATAACGATAACGAGATACTTTACACGAAAAGTAAAGGTAACGGTAACACGTTACTTTTTTGAAGTAACGTTCCCAACTCTGCATCTTACTATTGGCTCCTCGAATTTGTCGAAGGTATTGCAAAAATCTTAATCAAAAGTGTAATAGTCTGAACTAGAAAGATTTGCTTTGAAATCGATATGGATCCGCAATGTTCGCATGATTTGCGAATAAATCTCTAATATCGATTAAATATATTGTCGAAGTAAATCTGGTCCCATGCTCAGAAAATACATTGAATGACGTATTATTTTCAATTCCCGAGTAAAAGCTTCCAGATTTTCTCAGATTTATAAGTGACGTCTTTCGCCCATATTAAGTCATTTTGAAGTCCGTCAGTTAACAAATAATCCAAGAGCATCATTATTTGTGTAAAATTAAATATGTCAAATATATGTAAAATTAAACGTCAAAGTATTTAATTAAATAAATATGTATTTCATATTAATATATGTCATAGTAAAATATAATCAAAAATCGGAAACAAACAGTTAATAATATAAATAATAATTTGCTCGCGTTTCTTTATTTTGTTCATAACTTCCATGTGCAATATCGAATCCAAATTTGTCAAAACTATTTTTGGACACATATTTGTTATTTTATTTATATAATAAGAAAATATTGATTTTAGACATTAAATAACCATAAAACCACAACTAGGACAAGTAAATTGAGGTACAAACGGCGATGAATTATTTGCGGATAAGAAAGGAATAAAATTATGGAGAGATACAACTTTTTAATTGTTCTAAAATGTATTTCAAAATTACTTTAAAATTAAATATACAGATAGAACAAGAAAATTGATTTAAACATGTATTGACATTTTATTATGTTTATTCACTGATAAGACGCGTATTAACCTGATTTCTTATTATTTTGATTTTCAAAGTTGTTTCCATAACATGCTTATTACGATATCACATATCGAATGTTGCCATTTCTCGGTAGTATCCCAGAACAGTAAGATCAAGTTAATATAGATATATTTTCGATAAAACAAAATTTATGATAATAAAGAGTTAATTATACTTAATTTTTATCTAACATAAGGAACTAAATTCTGTGATCGATTGACATCATAATATACAAGGTAAGTTACAACAAAATAAAATACAAACCGTAGTATTTGTCTTCAGAGACAATCGTTTTTTTAAAGTTATCGTTTTTATAAAGATATTATAGCAAAAAGATTTTAATTTCACAAAAGCGTATATATTATTATATTATCTTAGAAATAAATTAAATTTAAAATAAAGCATTTAACAAAGAAATTTTTTTATTAAATGTCAATGTGGTTAAATCTAATCAAATTAAGTTTATGCTTGTTTAAACTGCTTTATTTAATACTGAATTTATTGAAATATATAACGAAAAATTATGATTCTTTTTCTTTAAAGCTCAATTTTTTAAATAAAGGATTATGTTATATTTTTTATATACTGTTTCTCTTTTTATACTCATAGTAATAATAGCAATAATTAAAGAAAATTTATAATTATAACTATGCAATATAAAAACTTGTGGGAAATATACGATGTGTCAAAAATGATGAATTTGAATAAATTTGAAAATTAATTAAAAAAACGATCTCTTCTTTGTATACTTTTTACTGGTATAATATACCTTATCATTTATGTACACTAAGAAAAATAACCGGTGAAAAGGTAACAAACGGATATTATCCGATTATTAATCGATCACTTTAATCGAAAAAAAAAGAAACCGATCAGATATGCAGTCAGAAAATATCAATCGATCGGATATCTGATCAGAAAGTTCAAATTCGGAACTTTCCTATCAGATATCCGATTAAAGTGATCGGTTAATAATCGAATAATATCCGTTCGTTACCTTTCCACCGGTTATTTTTCTCAGTGTAAGACTTATAAAAGAATAACATTATATAACATTATGTATTATACGACATATAATGCCGCAAATTTAGTTTTGTTAAGTTTTTCTCTCGAAACTTATCCTTTATTCTACTTACATAATAAGAAAATATTTTGACTTTATAGACATTTAATATAAAAAAGTCTATAATATCTGGCCAATAAGTTAAAGTATAAAAAGGATGAAATGATTTGTTTGTTTATAAGAAAGAAAATAATATTCTAAATAATATTACAATTTTTAAAAATAATACTATTATTACAATCTTTTTATTTCTTCAATGTTTTCAAAAATAATTACTTTAAAATTAAATATACAGTGCGGAGTATAAATTTAATCAAATATTTATACCTTCTTGTTTATTGATTAATAAGATTCTTATTAAAATTGGCTTCACATTGTCTTCATTTTAAAATTTGTTTTAATTACATGTTTATTATGATCAGGTATCGCACGTTGTTACATCTCGGTAGTTTTCTAGAAAGTCAAGATCAGATTAATACCGATATATTTCTTATCAATATTGATACTATATATGGTAACAACGAGCCAACTACACTTAATTATTATCAAAAAACTAAATTCTAATCGGCAAACAATTATATACGAGAGGTGAGTTAGTATAAAAACAAAATATCTAATACCACAACCGTATTTAAAAATATATAAAATATATTATATATGATGAGGACAATTTAAATAATTTTAAAATACAATCATATATAAAACAAATATAATTCTTCTTGTCAAAAATGCCTATCTTTTACAAAATTGTTATTATATTATAAAATTTTAATTTTTGAAGCGTATATTATTATATTATTTTTTAAATAAAGAAACAATTTAATTTAAAATTATGACGAATAAAGAAATTTTTTATTAAATGTGTAAGCATGATTAAACTTAATCAAATTAATATATTTGCGCACGTCAAAATATATTAAAAGATTATAATTCTTTTATCCTAAGGCTATATTTTATTAATAAAAAATGATATGACATTTTTTACTTACTCTTCTCTATCTTATATATAATAAAAGCAATAATTACAGCAGATTTTTTGTTATATGTGTGTGTGTGTGTGTGTGTGTGTGTGTGTGTGTGTGTGTGTGTGTGTGTGTGTGTGTGTGGGTGTGGGTGTGTGTGTGTGTGTGTGTGTGTGTGTGTGTGTGTGTGTGTGTGTGTGTGTGTGTGTGTGTGTGTGTGTGTGTGTGTACACATACGTATAAATTATTTTATTTGCCTCTTTTTTCAAGAAAAAAAGATGTTTACGTAGATATATAAAACGAATGAAAGAGAGAAAAAAAGTGACATGGCAATCCTAAAAGCATTAAATTGCAGTCTAATATTCATTGTCGCGGCGGTTCCTTTTATTGATGCAGAATTATACGAACCGCGACATTATAACATCCACTTTATACTACATGACAATCAAGTCTTCCATGGCGAATACAATGTCAGCATTTATATTCCTGATGACACGCAACATATATATTTTTATACAGAAAATCTGTCTATAATTACAACTACTGTAACAAACAATACCCAAATATCTAAAGAAAATGAAGGAAAAGATTTTCCCCATAGGCCTAAGAAATTTATCTATGACACTGAAACGTATATAACCACCATTTCCTTTCCATATATTTTATCATCAGGAAGCTACACTCTGTATATGAAGTTTTCCGGTATTTTTGGTGAAAATGGAGGCTTTAGAACTTTCTACATGAATCAACAAGGTGATAGAATGTGAGTAATTTTTAAATGATTTAAGTGTTATAAATACGATTCCTGCGGTAATTATGCATAAAATGGGCCCACCTTCGAACAAATTTGTTATTGACGTATGTTGTGTAGATGTTATCCCTGATTAACATTCTGAAGGTTTTAACCGGCGGTCGTTCTTTATTCAAAAGTTATTAACAAATAAATGTGAGAAATATTAATATAAAGATTCTATTTTATTTATTTATCAATTTCCTTTATTTTTAAATATGTTATAGGTGTGTGTGTGTGTGTGTGTGTGTGTGTGTGTGTGTGTACACATACATTTGTGATATTTTTAAATTGTATTAAATTCTATATAAATTAAATTGTTTACCTTTTTTTATTTACTTTTAATTTACCTTTTTTGTATTTTTTTTAACTTGCGAGTTTAACCGCCATTTTTAAGTTTCATATTCATGTTCAGGAGGTAAAAATACATAGGAATTGGGTATTCTTACCCATTAATAAATGTTCAAAAAAATAATCTTTTCGAATTACAACACAAAAAAATCCTTTAAATGGTCCTCATGTAAATCAAGTAATAGAATAAAGGCTATCATAGACCAAGCACAGCGCAGGTGGTAAAGCGAGACAGAAAATTTCTTAAAAATAATTCTTTATAGATTCAATAAATTCATACATTACATACATACAAACGTTTCGGTCCCTCTTTAGTGTGACAAATTAATATACTAATGTGACATATCGAAAATATAAAAATATAAAATAGAAATATAAATATTATTATACAGGTTCAAATGGTAAAATTTAAAAAAAATATAAACACAGTCGAACAAAGGAATACCGTTAGACATTTAAAATAAAGGCAAAATAAAAACGCAAAAAATCCGCGGCGCAGTACAATATTCATTACAAAAACGTCACGATGTTACCTAAAAATCTTCTCTATTCTTACCCATTATTTCATATAGGTGAGTATTCCGAACGTTCACCTTTTCTTTGTATTTATCATTTTTATCCTATATCTCCAAAGCTATTCGAGTCCGACCCTTATATATATATATGAAATTACTTGGAAAGATCTTCCCTATAACATATTTAAAAATAAAGCAAATCGGAGAGGGGGCCACTTTTATGCATAAATATTTTAATAACTTTTAAATAAAGAACGACCGCCGACTAAAACCTTCAGAATATTAATTAGAGATATGAGCTTGACAACATATGTCAATGACACATTTGTACGAGGGTAGGCTCTTTTTACACAATTACCGCATTATGATAAAATATACATATTAATAATTGTAATATGAAATATACATATTATTCTTTTAATGATATTTTTATTAGTTTTGATATACATTTGTATATATTTGCATATATTTTCTATTTATCATTCTTTCTCTTTTAATTTCTAATAACTGAAAATATTTCTTTAATTAAAAACATTTTGTTATTAAAAATATATTGTTACATATGCTAGGAGTTTAGCAGCAACGCATTATCACACATTTGGGACTCGAAGATTATTTCCACTTTTGAAGGATAGTATGTATGCTAGTTATAATATTTCTATAAAGCATCATGCAAACTACATAACTTTATCAAATATGCCTATGTGTGAAGTAAATATGGATGAAAATAATATGCAATGAATACTCTTCAAAACTACTCCTGTAATGCCCGTTAATTTCATAGCGGCGGGAATAGTTCGTCTTGCCTTTATTGCAAGTTGGTATATCACATTGTTTTGTAGAACAGACATGTTTCCTTATGTGCAATTTGCACATACAGTTGTTGAAAATATTACGCAGTTTTTAGATAACATGTGTCCGTACATCGGAAAAAGTCTGAAAACAAATTATATCGCGATTCCTAATTTTCACGACATATCAAATGAAGAAAATATAAAGTTCGGATTCGTTCTTTATAGGTAGACATATTTTGATTTAAAAAAAATTTCTGCATCAAAACTTAATATTTTTTTCTCCATATATTTAATATTATAAAATTTAATGTCTATGTGTGTATATGTAATTGAAATGTGTATAGGAGAGACCGTGGACAAAAGTAACATTTTTTGTATTATAGGTCACTAATTAATTATCATTAGAGGTGTAACAAAAAAGATTATATATAAAAATAATACATAGATTTTAATAAGTACGTTGATTGTTACTTTTATTTTGGGGGCCTCAGGACGAAAGTAACATAGTCTGGAGATAAAAGTAACAGTTCTTACTTTTGGGAAAATAAAATAACTATTTCCAATTTAAGGCAACTTTTATTATATTCTTTCATTAAGCAAGATAACTTTTATTATAAATTTGTATTATAATAAAAAACAAAATAAATATTTATTTTTATAATTTTTGAAAAACTTACAAAAGAAATAATCTTCGTTAAGCAAAATAATTATAAATAGTATCATTAAATAGTTATACTTAATATCACATCAATTTTGTACTTTTTTATGTCTAAATAATAGTTTAATTCTAAATAATAGTGTAAAAATTGTATGATAACTATTTATAAACAAAAATTGGTATCTATTCCGAATCACAATTATGGCATACGTAATAAGAATCGCCTTTGGTACAAACATTATGGGACCAGCCCTTATGCTCTAAGCATTAAAACATGTTACTTTCGTTCACAGAGTCTCGTGTTACTTTTGTCCTCAAACACATTTTTTTAGAATAAAAGCATTATAATCTAAATATGATGCAAGACTTACAATTAGTCAAATCAACTATATAAACTTATGAATACATTTTCGAAGAACGCACCGCAAATAATTACGCTAATATATACACATTAATTAGGCATAGATACAATAAAACTAAAACAAGAAGTACTTAGGTGAATAATGCAAATACGCTAATTTCACTCCTGAATGTGAAACCGTCATGATCATTCTAGAACTAATAGCTAAAGAGAAAGAGAATAGAAGTGTACGCGTTTGACTATATAGTACAAATTATTCAACATATTGTGTAGTTTAGTAGGAGGCTTGTTACCTTCATGACGCTGTTAATTTTGTCTCCGGTCTTTCTTAATACATTTTTTATAACTTTTTCGTTTATTGCACATTTTTACTGTATTTCTGAAAGATGTCGCTATCACAAAATCTGATTAAGATCACACGAAGTGATTACGAAATATAATTAATCTCTTATATAACTTTTGTATAATTATATTCATAACAACGATTCTCTAAAAGCGTGTCTGGTGATTATGCAACTGACAATGAGTAGCTAAAAAAGGATTCTCGACTTTATTGCAATATTTGTGAATTATTTTTAGAGAAGCAGATATTATCTTTAATCAAAAAACGGATGATGAGATGCGCAAAATTGAAATAGTGCGAGTAATAAGCTATAAGGTGACACATGAATGGTTTTATAATGCAATCGATCCTAAGTGGGAACCCTGGTTAAGCAAAGGTCTTTCTACGTTCATTGGAATTTATGCCGCAGAAGGTTATTTATATATTTAGCGTTAATAGTATTTCAGTCTCACACGTACATAATCAGAGTAATATAAAAATATTCATATTTCTATGTACAAAGAGCAATATATTTTTATTTGTTTATTTATATTATACTAATTTAAATCAAAATTTTTTTATAAAACTTGTGTGATCTATAACAATGATTAGTCAAAACTTGTCCCATAAGCAAGAACACTTTGGTTATATATATATATATATTAGGCATATGTACTTTTAAATATCTTTAAAAATATATACTTTGAAATGACTTCGTTGAATATATTTTGTTATACATAATAAGAAAAACTGAATGTATACGATGTATACGATGTGTGTAAATTTTTTGTAATATACGAGTATTGTAATAGTTTTAATGTATGGTGCTTTTGATTATATATTTGTTTAATTATATCAAAATCTTTTCGCGCCCAGACATTTCCGCATTTTCGGATACAAGATTTCTTTGTGATTCAAATGCAACATGATGTTCTTCATTGGGGCACCAAAGATACATGGCCGCTCACAATCGAATCAGAATTCAATAGTTCTTTTGAAATTCCTTGTTACATCAAGGGTAATTAAATAAATTATTGTTCATAAATTCTAAATGTTATATATAAAACGTTATAATAAAATAAGTAACTTACTTAGTAGTAATTTATTTATATTATTAATTATATTATTAATATTATTAATTATTTAAGCATTGACGTTTACCAGAAAAGTATAATTAAAATTAACTTTTATTTATTATACATATAAGTCAGTTACGTTTATGAATTTATATATTCAAATCATATAGCAAATTTATTTTATATATACTATATTTTACTTTATTATGTTAATTTTCGTAGCAAGCATTATGTTTCGCACATTCCAAATTATATTTACCGAAAAGTTGTTGCAGTCTGGTATGAAGTATTTACGAGATCAGTGAGTAATATGTATAGATTTCAATATAATTACATTATAAATTTAAATACACAATTTTAAATGATTTTTTACTTTGATTTTATTTATAATTACTTTTTGTGTCACTTTTTGAAATTTTTTAAAAATTTATTTATGTTTATTTCCCAAACTTTCTTTATTCTTTTCGTGTTTCTAATTTTATTTGTACTTAATTTCTACTAATAATTTCGAAACTTTTTAATTTTTTACGTGTTAAATTTTAACTTCTACTTTATTTTCATACTGATTATTATTTTAATTTTCTTTTCTATTCATCTATTTTAATTTTCTTCATTTTAATTTTTTTTTAACTTCTTCTTTCATTTCCCTGTTTTTAATTCCTGTTTTTTAAAAAAGTCCTCTTTTATATTCTCTATTTATGTCTTTCTGTGACACATTTATCTTTTTCATTTTTATTTTATTTCTTTTTATTTTCTATTTACCCTTAATACTTTCCTTATCGTTCCAATTTCATTTGATATAATTTTCACTATTTTCTCTTTTCTTTCATTTTTGCTTTGTGTGAAAATCTTAATTTTTCAATACCTTTTTAAGATATTTTCTTTTATTAATTTTTTCTTATCATTTACCCATTTGAATTTTTTAGTTTTTACGTAAGCGAAACTATTTTCTTGAACGTTTTGCAATCTGTCTTGGATAAATCTTCTGGAAATCGTTCTTATCATATAAACAGAATAGCTAACTGGACACAGTTAAATTATTACCCTGTGATAAATATGGAAAGAATTTATAATACTAACTTGTTGAACATATCAGTGAAAAATTTTACAAATATATGGATACACGTGAACTTTACTACGCGGACGCATTCCGCTTTAAGGAAAATTTTGCCAACATTATGGCTAGGACCAAATAATTCGTACCAATTACAAACTATAGATTTCATAAACCAGAGTGACTGGATACTAGCTAATTTACAACAAAGTGGTAAATACTGAACGATAAATTTTTTATACTTTTACATATAGTTGCTCTCTAAAAATTCATATTTTCTTTAAAAAATATTTAAGTGTTAAGTAATAAAGTAATCATATAATAAGATAATAAGGGAAGCATATTTATTATTTATATTTATTATTATTATAAAATATTTTATGAGATGTTTTATGGTTTATGTAAAGTTTTGTAAACTTAAAGTATTAAATATCACATAAATTTTTCAATTTTTGGCTATCCTTATAACTTTTTATGAGAAATATTGTGAGGAATTGATTTATAGAGAATTATAGTAATTCTATTTTAAAAAACCAAGGTTTTCCTTGACACCTACACCCAAGAAGCAGTTAATTTTCTTATCTTCTTATCCTCCCCAAACCCTACAACTTTTATTTGAAACATTCTTTTTCAAAACGGCTGTTTTCGAGTCATTACTATATGAAAGATAATCTTGTATAATTCAATGTATGTTATTTAAATTATAGAAATAGTAAATTTTGACGTCAATTTATTAATTAGAGAGAGCATATTTTTCTTAGGTATTTAATAATGATTAAAAATAATATCGAATAATTTTATTTTTGGATAATTTATTATATTAATCTTGATATTATTAATCTAAAATATATTTACACATACATATGTAGAAAACAGCTAATTTTCCTCTAATTAATTATATTTGCTAAATTATGTCTTCAGTTATAATAAAATTTTATGCGCGATCTAAAAATTGTATATACATTTAAATGTTACACGTAACAAAGTATATAAGAATTTTCTTTGTTGATTAGCACGAATGTAGTCAAAATAAATTTAAGTTGACATTTCTAAAATATAACTCTCTAAATATTTTGATTTATCAACGTGATGATTTAATATTTTCAATCCATAACCTTCTTCTAATGATAATCGCAATTTTTAATATAAAATTTCTAATACATTTTTTTATACGCTTTGAAAATAAGAAGCCAAAAGATATTTTAAATTGTTGATTTTATATTACACACACACACACACACACACACACACACACACACACACACACACACACACACACACACACACACACACACACACACATATTTGACAAATTTAATAAAAAAATTCAATTTAATTCAGAATTTATTTATCAAATAGGATCCTATCGCGTCAATTATGATGCCGAAAATTGGAATAGGCTTTCGAAATACCTGAACTCCAATTCCTATAGAACAATACATGTTCTGGACCGCGCTAAAATCATCGACGACACATTTCATTTTCTGATGACAGGTCAACTAAATTTTACCATATTCTTAAATATTTCACATTATCTACGGCGAGATACAGATTATATCGCATGGTATCCTATGTTTAAAAATTTGGAATATATGTCGGGTTTCTTTGCATTTCCAGAAAGCGTACCAATAAAGGTATAAATGATATTAGTTTGTATAAGGAGAAAAACGTGTGTTTCAACAATATACACAACATGTATACTTTAAAATTTTATATTTTAAAGTTTTTTTTTGATAAAATATGGATGAATATATACGCAATGTTTAATTGTCCAAAGCTTTAAATTTTCATGCAACCTTTTGTTTCGTATTAGGAAGAATAATAATAAATATTAAAATGTATTAATTAGTGTATTAAATAATAATTATGCATTTATTGTTTTAACCATATAAAAATATTATTGATTATTTGTATAACGTTTTAAATAATAGCATATGCGTGCAAAAAAACTTTATCAAATTTTATCAATTCTTTTATAATATATATATTAATACAAAAATATATATATTTTGTAGAAGGAAATAATGGAACTATTGAGTTTTATTTTATTAAAAATAAAATATCCCAATTTTAAATCAAATACAACCCAGGAGAGCATTTTCACTAAATGTTTGAGACAAGAGGCTGCAAGATGGTTATGTAATATAGGTCATGAGTATTGCTTGTCAAAAGCAAATAATGAATTAAAATGGTATCTTTTCAATCGTACCAAATTTTCACCAAACAAGTAATTATTTTTTTAATTAATTATTTTTTGCAATTGTTTTTCAATCAGGATCATTTTATAAACACATTTCTCTCGTACTACTTTGTGAAATATTTGAAAAATTATGTTATCAAGAGATAAAATTACAAATTTTAATAATCTATTATATTTTATTCCGAATATCGTAGAATTTGGATTGGATGGGAAGAATGGACATTCTGCAATGGTTTGATGAAAGAGAATAATAGTATTTGGATGCAGGTGTATGACGTATATTTGAAAGAATCAAATTCTAGTGTTTTAAAATTTTTAGCTTGTTCCAACAGTTCTTCAATCATTGTCCAATATATACGATTAACAACTAATATGACATCTATCGATCATATAAACAGTTTTTGTTCTATTGTTGCGAGGCATGCAAGCAATATCCAAATACTTGATTTCATATTATACAATTTGGAAACAATAAAATCCACGTAATAGTATAACTTTTATGAAAATATGTAATAATTGTGCAATTGTAAAGATTTGCTCCACTTGTTAAAGTTACATTATAGGACTGTTGTTTTGTTTTATAGACATATGGATGTTATTCCAGTATTAACTATGATCATTAACCATGTATATTCTAAGCAACAAATTGATCAGGTAAATTCTATATACTTATATATGGGCTTATATGCACAACATGTACATGCACATATATAAAATTATTTATAAATTTCTATAATATATCTATTACACAACATTATATGTAAAAATTTTTTTAATTTAACTTGTTGATCTCTTTTGATATCATTCTAAATTTCTTCAAACGTTTTGTTGCATAATCACACTAAAGACAAATTATACCATATGAAATTTTATTGTATTATAACGTAGAATTGCTTACATATTAATCTAAAAGGCAATTTGTTTTAGATCAAGGAATACGTAAAAAGTAATATTCAGCAAATTCTAAAATCTTCAGTATCTCTTCTCATTAATAATAGTCAAAACAATGATGAGGTAAATTTCATAAGTTTATATATTTAATTATTAATTTCTTATTATTAAGCTTATTTATCTTTACGTATCACATTACTATTTCATCTTATTTATTCTAATAACTAGAAATTGTGACAGACTTTTATAATATGAAAAGAAATTATTGTTGAAATAAATGTTAAAATAATTCGTTTTAGATAATTAAATCCTTGCATAAAAAGAATATGGAGAGTATAATAATGTATTTAAACCGCAAATTAGAACTACGTTGGAATCAAATAATAAGGAGGCAATCAAATAATAAGGAGGCAATCAAATAATAAGGAGGCAATTGCACGAATATCGATATCTTAAAAAAGGTGTTGATAATATTTTCAAAGCACTTGCCTAATTAATCAATTAAACCAGGAAAAGGTAGCGAAATGTAATGTATGCACATATTTACTTTTAACATATGAATAGTTCTTATATTTCAATTATTTATTTTGATTAATGTATTCACGAATAAAATAAATATATAGTCGTAATAGAATAAAAAGTTAATGAGTTCTATTTAAACAGTGATAATAAACATTATCATGTCTTCATTCTTTGGCGAGCTTTATAAGCGGTTTTTCTCACTATTTATCTGTTTCTCAAAGTATATGCGATAATTAAAAAAGAATACTTTTTTCAAGATAAATTGATATGTGTTATATATTGATGTGTGTTATATAATATGTATTATGTAATGCACATATGAAATATTTCACAATTATTATATACAAGTTTTATAAAAGATTCTTAAAATAATAATTATAAATTCAAAGAATTAATGATTAATGATAATTATTTTTATTGAGCAGAGTATGAAGAACAATGTGCTGGTAGATGTAATTTTATTGTACTCTACATAAGAAAGAAGTATATAATATAATATGTTGAACGAGCGTGTCAAATAATCATTACAACAGAAGTAATATGAAGTAAGAATGATATCGATTGAATAATGCAAAAGGTAGAGAGATAACTACATCTGACGCAATGTATAAAAAAGAGCTAAAAAGGGCAATTATAATTGTAATTATAACTATAGCAGCGCAGTGGTAGTAAAAAATAAATCTTCATCAATTTTTTATGATAATTACATTAGCTCCAGAAAAAAAAGAGAGTAAGAAATAAGCAAGCGTATGGTACATAAACTATAATGAATAAAAATAAATAGATTAAAATAAAATATCATAAGTTCTGTACTGAATTAGATTCAACAAATTGATTTCGACTTAACTTAGTTTCTCTGTCGAATTTAGAATTCAAAAGTTTTGTTGTCAGATTAAATTCAATACAGATGATATTTTAGAATGATTATTTTATTTAAAAAATTTAGAACAAATTACATATTTTAATTCTTCTAATTAATAGAAAAATTTTTTAATGTAAAAAAAACAACTTATTCTCTCAGTTCGAAGGTTTCTAAGGCTTTTAAAATTCTAGATTAATTTCAAAAATTTATCGTGCTTGCTGCACGCAAGGTATCAGTAGTATATCATATGTATACATGTGGCGCAAATATTCGAAATCTGTAATTTGATGTTTCTAATAGAAAATGAATTAAAATTAAGTTTATATTAAAATTCACAAAAAGCTTAAATGTTATACATTTAGTATGTTATTTGAATTGGTATAATATAAAATTATTCATTATCTATTAGATATATATGTATGTGTATCTATGTATGTATAAACTTATAATGTGAAAAATTTGATGAACATAAGAAAATTTATTATCTATAAATGTTACATCTTCTTTCCATTTACTATATAGATATATTATCTTAGTGTTTACGTAATATTGACAAAAATATGACATATTATATTATGAAATTTGTTTTTTTTCCAAACTTGTTTTTTATTCTATTAATTCTATTTTTTTCTATTTTCTATTCCTTTATTATTAAAAAATTATTATTAATTTTAGACAATCAAAAAAAATATATTAGAAATATTTACTTACGTTGATCATTAAATTGCGATACAAGCGATGACAAAACTAATAGGAAAATTGTGTACAAATTGTAATATTGTTCCTATAAAAATTAATAATATCATGTATGCACTCATTTTATAATTATTTTTGATAGAAAGATTATAAAAATTACGAATATGTTTTACTCTATCTACGATAAAAATATGCATTGTTAATAATATTAAAAAAGTCTATAAAAAAGGTTCAGGCTTAAAAAATAAAAAGTATATACTTTGCAAAAATACATGTCATTGTATACCTTGAGGAACATGTATTTAAAATAATTTTAATATAAAATTTTATAATAAAATTTATAAATAGTTTATAAAGTTTTAATTCATGAATATTCCAATAAAAAGAAATTTAAAAAGAACTTTTATAAATTAAATGTTTAATCTTACAAATGTAAGAAACAAGATTTTAAAATTTATCTTAAAAATTTTCATTCAAAATTACATCATAAAACAATATTCTTAAATAATTAAATCAGTTTTTAAATATTTAATCAAAAAAGTGTATTATCAATTTGATAAATGTATTATATCAATTTACTTGCTAGTCTTCTTTCAATCTTATTTCATGGATTTAATTACTCACATACGAATATCGGTGTTCTGACGTTTTTTAAAAGTCAGTTTATTGGAGGTTAAATTATTAATATCTTGCGATTAAAACAATTAATGCCGTTTGTATAAGAAGTGTAAATATTTGCATATTATTTATATATATTCTTTTCATTTAGAAGGTAAATTTAGTATATTTAAACATCTAACTGTATCTCTTAAAAAATTATTATTTGAAGATTTTAAAGACATTTATATCTACATTTAAATAATTTTCACAAATAATTTATAACATTTGAGATATAATATTTCTTTAAATGAAATCAGTATATCTGAAATCTTGTATCTTAATCAAGAACATCTCGTTTCTCAGAAATCATACATTCATCATTATTGTGGTATCGTATGTATATATATATATATATATACATATATATATATATATATATATAAAAGAAATGTACACACACACACAAGTCAACACTTGGATCACGATCTCTGGTAAGGTCTCAACATACATTATGATATAAAATTAATTATTCGCATTTAACAATTAATATATCTCGTCTTGCTAATTATAATATTTGTTTTAAATTTTGATTATAAACAATAAAATTATCAATATAAATTTATTGCGATTTTTTTATATTGTAAAATTCGTGCTTTAAGTTCTAACGATTCATCGATACGCACGTTTATCATTTATATATTTAATTGTCATACATTATTTAGAGTACGCAATATTTCATTATTGCAATTTCAATGTTCGTTATGTCTTAATAAATTCGAAATGTCGAGCATGTTAAAATTAGAAACAGAATCGATCAAAAGGTATAGTTTTGATGTATATATGTTATAACAATAATTAAAAGTTTTCATTTTAATGACTTTTAATAAGATTATTCAGCATTAATTCTACTCTTTAATATATTATTGATTTATTAGCGAAATATTCAAGAGAAAAATGTTGATTTTATTTGCCAAGGGCAAATAGGGAAATATTGAAAATTCTTAAATGTGATTTAACAGAATTATTATAGTTTTTGTACGACTGTAGAAAGTATATGGATAATAAATATAAACATTTTGGTCTTCGCGCAATTTTATATTTAGGAAGATAGAGCTTATTATTATGAATTATTTTTCAAATATTTTAATTTTTAGAGATATAATATTAATGAAATTATATATCATATTTTCGATTAAAAATTTATTATAGAAATTTTGTGTGTGTGTGTGTGTGTGTGTGTGTGTGTGTGTGTGTGTGTGTGTGTGTGTGTGTGTGTGTGTGTGTGTGTGATATAGTTTATTAATCAAAATATAATTTTATTCCTTTTTTCCTCGTATTTTTGATTCCCCAGTATATTTAATATTTTTATATATCTTGTTACTTTTATTATTTTCCTTATAAATATATTTATTTCGAGACCAATAATTAATTGCTAAAAGATTAGGTTCTATTTTCTCCGTTTGACTAAAATATGTGTTGTCATATAAACACAACAAGATTTCGATGTATAAGATACATGTCTCTTTTACAGATTATTGATACAGCATCATAATATTAATAGTGAGAGCTGAAAAAGATTCGATAAAAAAAATTGTAATCTCGAATCTTTTGAAGAAAAGCGATAAAAAAGTATTAACGATATATTTTAAGGATAATGCAAATGCAAGTGAACGTTTTATGTTATATTCCTTCACAGTTATTTTTGTTTCTATCTTAGCACATTAGGTAAAATGATAAGATGTATAATTCTATTGTAAATTAGATTTATTTAATTAATTTTAATATTTATAATCTAAAATACTTAAAAGATTGAAATGATTGTGTGCTTGTTTTTTTATATTTCTTTTTCAATATTTCAATATTAAGTAAGTATAAAAGATTGATAATACATATTAGTTAATAAAAATTAATAAGAATTCTTTTTTAGTCTATGATATTTGTACCAACCGATAAAAGTACACATATTAACTTTGATATAAAAACTTTAAAATTTAGAATATTGAATGATAATATATATAACAATGGAAGATATTGAATTAGTTACTATTGCAATGATAGTAGAATGTGGAGTGTTTCTACTAATTACTTTGGCAAATATTTTTTTTTTATTTTTTTTTAGGTAAATCAATATTTTTTAATATTAATGACTAATCTTTATATTGAATTAATTTATATACAAACAATTTATAGTCAATTAAGACTATGATTAAAAAAATTAACAATATGACGTAAACTATAAATTTTCACTACACTTAATGTTTTTACGTTTATTACTGAAGAAACAAATAAGAATGATAATTATGAAAAAGAAATTTTAGGATTGACAGAAAAATATTATTAATTTTGATAAAATCGTTATTTTTAATTTAAAAAAAATATAATTTTTAATTTTTTAAATATTGAGGCTATGTTGTTGTATAATAAAGGTTTTGTAAAAAATTAAAATGAGTATAATATATTGCACTTTATATGTATCTTATCGCATTAATCGTTAACTGCTATATTAAACATTTTATTCAATATGTTATGGGAATTTTTATTATTAAAAATAATTTTTTATGATTTTTCATTCTAATAAATGGGCTATTAGCAATAATCAGTTTGAGCTAGTCAGAAGATTTTGCTCTACATTAATAAACTGGCTTTACTTTTTCAATGATGAGAGAGATCAAGATCCAAATTCAAGGAACAATGACCAAGACGCTTATCGATACGACAGAATGGAATAGGAATATAATATGTATAATACGTAAGTAAAGTATAAACAATAAATTATATGCAGAATCTATATCATATTGATACATTTTTTTAGACACATTAAAAATAAGCAAACAGTACAAACTAGTACAGATATAAACATACAGAATATTTTACAAATAAGTGACCCTTTAGAGAGAAAGAGAGAAGCGTATTCTACTTATTGTAAAAATTCATACAAACACGAATGCAAAAACTCTTCTCTTTTGAACATAAACACATTTGTTTAGAGTTTGGCAAAAATATTTCTTACCAATTAAAAAAACATAATATTTTGTTTGTAATTCATATCTCGCATTAATGTCATTTAATTTTTTTAAAGATATTCAAAAATTCCCACAATATTTTAAATTATTTATATGTTATGTATAATTATTTATATGTATATTTATTGTTTTATTTATCTTTCTTAACCGTATGTGTGTGTTTACAAATTATTAATGGTATTAATAATTTCTAATTTCGCAGGAGCCATTGGTCAACGTTTAACTTGAAAAGTTGGAATTGAGATTGTTGCAAATTGTTGCAAAGATTTACTTATATACGATAAATAAATCTTAAATATGTCATTAGACATTATTTCCAACTTCAAGTCTTTCGAATAATGCAAGTTAAAAAGAAGGAATACCGCAAACATAATTTTAAATCGAGACCAGTTTTAAAGAAAATTAAAATTATCATTAACAGATAAAATTTCAATAATTTTAATATAAATTTGCAACTTTATTTATTATTATTAAATGTATTCAAATTTTTTTCGGTGATGATTGTTAATGGATTAGAATATTAATATCGTTACGGAAATGATTATATACGTATTTTTCTCGTTTATAAGTCCTATAGATTTATATACTTTAAATATCTTCTTTTAAAAAATTAATTTTAATCAACAATTATTTTATGAAAATATCGTAGTCCTAATAATTTTATTATAAATAATAAAATAATAAAATTGTATTATAAGTTAGCAAAGCTGGACGATATTAACGCATAATTTAGACTTTTAAATACAAAATTTGTATTTGTGTTTAAATATATAGCATAACATATCAAGAAATCAAATGTTGAAAAGCGAGGGAGAATGAAAGTGCAAGAGACATGAAATAGAGTAAATTTTTTTATACGCGCGCTTTTATCCCTTACTCTTTAAATAAAAACAAACACTCAGTTTGAATATACTATGTCTATAATATATAGATTGTATGTGTTATTTGTTATTATTTTTTTCTTACAATTTGCTACTATTGTATATTTGCTGTCAATTAATATTAATGCTTTATTTTATGAATATTACATATATGATAGCAATTGATTGATATTAATAAATTGGTAATTAATAACAGATTTTTAATTGTTACACATAAATTAATTTACTTATTTTTTAACAATAACTTAAAATGTTTATTCTATTTAAAATTAATTACTAAAATTATATTAATTAATTAAAAATTATATATGTTTTAATTATTAATTAATAAAATCAATTTTTCAAGAATTAATTTAATTTATTGGAAGCAAATTAATTACTTTTATTTAGATCTTTGCCTTCATTATTTATAAATTTTAAGATGAGTGAGATTGTATGATTTTAATCAATTAAACATGTATAATTTTAAATTAAGAAAATAAAAATTAAATTATTTCAAATGATATGACTTATTTTTTTCTCAATTTTGTTTATTCTTTTAATTCTATATAAACATTTGAAAAAATATAATACATTATAATAATATATTTTATTTTTTCCCAATTTTTATATTCATATATACAGGATCTGTCAAAAGTATGTGTTAAAAATTTGTGAATTTGTTCTTGGATAAAAAAGAACAAATGTTCATATGGTCGCAAATAAATAAATAATGTTTTTTTTTAGTAGATAATGTTGGTTTAAATAATGTTGATTTTTAAGTAGTATTAAAATTAAGAAAATCACTTAGACTACAAATAATGACATGTCGATAGAATAGAAAAAGATTAAATTGTAATGTTAAGTTATTTAAGAATCTTCAATGCCCTATCTGAAAAGAGTAAGATCTCAAAATCAGGTCCATCTAAAAGTACGTTAAAGCTTAACTTATTTGCAATTAAGATTGGCAATTTTTTTGTTTAATAGTTAATAAAATTAAATTAAATTAAAAAGAAAATAAAAGTAATTAAATATATAAAAAAATAATTAATATATTTAAAATTAAGTCATTAAATATATATACATATATATGTATTATATCTCTCTTATAAATCATATAATATGCATATCATACGATAATCATAATGCTTGAATTAATTTTTAAATATGAAAGAATTGTCTTAAACTTTGTTTAAATATTCTCCAAATAATATACTATTTATTTATATTTAATATACATATAATAAATACTATACATATATAATATACATATAATAAATTATATTTATATATAATAACAGACAAATAAGCCTAAGAGCTCTAAGCTAATAACAGCGCAGAAAATAAAGCGCGAAGAAAAATCTTTATAAAAAATTATCTAAATAATTAGACGTATTAATTCTATTTCATACCATCTTTAAAATAACTGTTAAAAAAATATAAATATATATATGTACAAGTAAATTCTCATTATACTACTTAAAAAGTGAGTACATTCTTTTACTTATCTTTTCCATTTATGAAAATAGTACTTAAAAAAACGTGTGATAGCACAAATAATTACAGGCCCGTAACCAGTTCATTATGTTAGAAGGGGCAAAATCTTAATGTGATATCTTTTTTTCAAAATACATTATTTTTTATTTTTTAAATATCAATATTTTATATAAAAAATATAAAATTAATCAATAATTTAAAATTACAATCAAGTAAATGTTAAAATAATTGTAATTTTCGCAATTTTGCGAGGTTTAATATAAATCCAACGGTATTTTACTTAGAAAACATAATAGTTTCTAAAATTGAAAGATAAAAGAATCGATTTTTTTTACTGCCTAGTTTTTTAAATATGCAAAGGATTTGGAAACAAATAGGAGCAATGTCCCTATTTAATCTAGTTATGGGCCTGATATATTAAACTGAATATCAAGAAATATTATTATATATTAATTCATTTTGAAACTGCTGTCGCTTCCATGTCAAATCGGACATAAGAGTTTCTTCAACAAATGTTACTTGATTTGAACCATCAATCAATAATATAGAGTGTGTCCTTGTACCATATTCATCTCCAGAAACAAAAATTGAACTAAGTTCTTCATATGTTGTCGGATAGTTCTTTTGTAATTTGGGATCTGGTAGACATCTGTAAAATTCATTGAACATTTTAAATTTGAGCATTTGTATCACACAAATTTATATATATTATTCTAATGTGTATATATATGCGTGACATACTTTGTCTGTGATTTTAGGAAATTAATAAGTTCTTCAATAAGAATATTTTGTTTTGATATATTCACATTCTGTACAATTTGTTTAAATTCTTTTTTTCCTACTTCAACTTTTTTATAAGAATCATCCATTCCACTGTTCCCGATACCTATAATATCACTGTCACACATTTTAGGTCCAGTAGACTTTGCATCGCTACTTAAATAATACGTATTTGCATTCCTGGAAAAAAATTATACATGATTAAAATGCTGATGATTTATAATCTATGTAGAAGATTGTATCTTATAAGATACTACATTGTATTATTGCTAAAGTTAAACGAAAACAATTAAATTATCTAGGTTTATAACATATTAATCCTTTACTTACTTTAAATCTAAAGAAACCAAACAGTAAGGATTATATGGTTGTCCATCAATATTTTCTTTGTGTAATTGATTTAAGTACGCCTCTATAGAATCGTTGGAGGTAACAAAATTACTTATCAGAGGCCCACGACTTTTCTTCGCTGAACTAATTACGTTATTTTCATTAACTAAATTTAAGATAACAGCAGCTCTCCCTCTCATTGACACAGCCAGCCAAGTTCCACCTTCCCTGCCAGGTTCCATGTCGATACCTAGCACATTTAAGTTTTTCTTTTAAATTAAAAACGAGACAAAAATATTATTTCTTTTTCTCATTAAATATAATTTTTTTTTTTAAATAAAGTTTGTATTCTAAACTTACATAATATTTCAAGGATATTTATCATATGTTACTCTTTCAAAAATAATTCACCAATATTTTTATCATACCTCCTAAACATTCAGGATGCTTTTTCCAATAGTGAGCGGATAACGCAGGACGTTTATATGTTTCATCTCGATTCGTTGCAACTATTAGCCGATAAGATTTAATATCGGCGTTAGGATTGCGATAAATAAACAAAATGCACATGACTTGGTATTCACAATTATATATATATATATTTTTTTTTATTAATAGACCCTTCTAAAATTGGAGCACCATGTAAATTTTTATTCACAATTGAGGTAAGAGACTCAAAAAACAGCTTTTATACTCTAGATTGCATATCTATTTTGTGATACTGATAATTGATTATCAAATCGCTTCATTTATAAATCAAGATAATATTACTGTTGTTTGCACACAAATCTGAGGTGTGTTAGAATTCTTATTTATAACCAATACCACGGAAATGGCGACCATAGATTATATATTATACTAGATAGTTAACATATATGTATAAGATTTGGTGAAAACAAAATTTCATAATTTCTTAAAAAATTTTAGCGATTTTTCATAATTCAAATTTATGAAGAATTCTAAAAAAATTTAACAGATTTATTTATTCAAATTTTTTAATATTAAAAAATTGAATAAATAAATTTTTCATAATTCAAATTTATGAAGAATCCTAAAAAAATATATATATCAGATTTATTTATTCAAATTTGTTAACATTAAAAAATTGAATAAATAAATTTTGCATAATTTAAATTTATGAAGAATCCTAAAAAAATAAATGTGATAAATTTTTTTTAGAATTCTTCATAAATAAAACACAGTGAAGAATATCAAGTATATTTTATTGTCTTATAGTGACATATGAAAACAAGAAATTACGTCATTTAATATATACATATTTTCTTTATCCAATTTAAAAAATTCTATCCACATAAAAGCAAGTAATAACAAATGCTCTTGTACTTATTCTAGCATTGAAATTAGTGGTCTAGTAATAGAAATCTATGGTAATCGAAAGTTTATCTTTATACATAACCTTTGTACATACATAACCTGTGGTGTAATCGTGCCACACTCATGAATGACGTTTCACATATAGGGTGCCCTAAAATTCTCAAATAAACTCTTATCACGAACATCAATTGAATATAGAATATTGTAAATAGAATAAATTGAAAATAATATTGTACTAAAAATAAATCGGAAAATAATCATTGTGTTTTAATAAATAACGAAAAAAATTCTAACCTTGATTTTTTAATTTATTTCAAATTCGTCGTAAAAACAAATATTTAATTACAGAATAACAGTAATGAATTTATCAAACTTTTTAGAAATTTGAAAATTTAATTATTTAATTTTAAATTTAATTTTAATTAATTATTCATCGATATTCCCCTAAATAATAATGATTCGATTTAAAGCGCGAGTGACTTCATATTTCTTTTTTAAATAAATGCATGATTAGTAAAACGTGTTCGTTAATTTCAGAGCACCCTGTAGAGCGATAAATACAAGAAACCGGCGTCACATGAAGAGATTCTGAATTCAAGGGCGTGTACGCGACGTGTTTTCGTTTCTTGCCTTCGTTATGTCGATCAGCTGTTAGCTTCCATCGAGATTATCTTTGCCTCCTTGCCTTTTATATAAAATCACCGTGAAGATGGGCCAACGTGTTTCAAGAACGGACTTTGAGTGGGTTTATACAGAGGAGCCCCACGCCACGCGGCGCAAAATAATTTTAGGTAGGAGAAAAAAGAAAAATATAAAAAAAAGAAAATATTTACACATTTTAATGTGTTATTTATTGTAATTTAGCGAAATTTAAAAATATTGAACACCCTATATGTAAGGTTAAATACTTTTTCATATACGTATAATTAAATTGCATAAAATTATTTAATATTAAATAAAGTCAAGGGATGCAGAAGACCAAAATCATACTGTTTATTATAAACATTTTCTATTTTTCTTAATTATTTTCTATAAAAATAATACTGTAAGAGCGATGAACATTAATTGAGCTTATTAATATGTTCTTAATCTGCCATTAGATAACGAATGCAAAATATATAATGTTAAATTTAAAATATATTTCGATACAGATTAAATAATCTAGTAAATAATCTATCTAAATCATGTATAATTAAAAACTGACAAAACACTTGTTTGTTTAATACAATACATAATGCATAGTACGTAATGCATAATACATTTGCTTGATAAAATATAATATAATACATACAATACATAATACATAAAATGATTTAATATTCAAAATTTATTTGTTTATAAAGAATTCCAAGATATTTGACATTGAGAGAAATTACTGAAATATATAACAAGAATTAAACAAATTTTGCCTCTGATTAATTGAAAATATACATATTATCTTTGAAATAGAGCATTTTTAATTATCAAGTAGATTTAAGAAATTTTGTAAATAAATTGTTTCGCAAATATATTATAGAAATATCGACGAAATATATTTTACAACATTTACAAAAGATATTTTATACAGTTTTTTAAATCATATATTTGTTAATTATTTTATTCAATTAATTCTGAAATGTTCATTATAAATAAGTGTTTTCTTTATTTTAGAGAAATACCCACAGATTAAACAATTATTTGGATATGATCCAAATTTTAAATGGATTGTAACTGGAATGGTATTAATACAATTTTTGTCATTTTTCATTGTGAAAGATTTAAGTTATCCACAACTTTTGTTATCGGCATATTGTTTTGGTGGTGTAATAAATCATTCTCTTATGCTTGGTATGTACATTTCATTTATTAACGCATTAAAACTATTCTAGGGTTATATATATTATATATAATTTTTAATACATTATGCATTGTTTTTCAGCGATACATGAAATTTCTCATAATCTTGCCTTTGGACATGCCAGACCTATGGCTAATCGACTGTTTGGTTTTTTTGCAAATTTGCCAATAGGAATACCAGTATCTATTAGTTTTAAAAAGTATCATCTTGAGCACCATCGTGTGAGTATTACAAAACTTGATGCAAAATATGTATTTTATATTTTATATAATAATATATATACAGGGTCTACCAAAAGTGTGGAAACCCCTAAATATCTCGGAAAATATACGTTTTACAGAAAAGTGTTTCCAACAAAAGTTGTAGGGTTTAAGAAGATCTATATACTGATTCTATCAGTTTGACCTTGGATGGCGTCGTCAAGGTCAGGTCAAGGTCACATTGACTTTTTTAAATGACACCCCCTACATTTTATTGCATATTCTTATAGCTTAATTCAAGAGCTTTCCAAAACACTATAATAATGTTCATTTTTATTAAGTACTTTGCGAGTTATGAGGGTTGAAATAATTTCTTAATTTTACATAAACCATAAAATATCTAGTAAACCATTCATTTTTCGATTATCTTACCTTCATACTTTTATGTACAAATTAATGAGAGGAATCAATTGGTGTAAAGAAAACACATAGTTGTTTCTAAGAAAAAATATGTAATTTGCAATTAACAATTCCATATTTTTTCTTAAAAACAACTGTATGTTTTCTTTACACCAATTGATTCCTTTCATTATTTTGTACATAAAAGTATGAAGGTAAGATAATCGAAAAATGAATGGTTTACTAGATATTTTATGGTTTATGTAAAATTAAGAAATTATTTCAACCCTCATAACTCGCAAAGTACTTAATAAAAATGAACATTATTATAGTGTTTTGGAAAGCTCTTGAATTAAGCTATAAGAATATGCAATAAAATGTAGGGGGTGTCATTTAAAAAAGTCAATGTGACCTTGACCTGACCTTGACGACGCCATCCAAGGTCAAACTGATAGAATCAGTATATAGATCTTCTTAAACCCTACAACTTTTGTTGGAAACACTTTTCTGTAAAACGTATATTTTCCGAGATATTTAGGGGTTTCCACACTTTTGGTAGACCCTGTATATGTTGTATAATGATATATATTTTCAATTGCATATACATATTAATAAAGTATCTTTTTGATATCTAGTATCAAGGAGATGAGAAATTAGATACAGATTTACCAACGTTATTAGAGGCAAAATTATTTAATACAACCTTTGGAAAGTTCTGTTGGGTATTGTTGCAACCATTTTTCTATGCATTCCGACCTCTTATAACATATCCAAAGGTACCAACTTTTCTAGAATACATCAATTTAGTCTTACAATTGATATTTGATGGTTGTGTATGGTATTTTTTCGGTAAGTTTCAAAAATCACATACAGATTAAGATAATAATTAATAAAATTAATTTGTAAATATAAAGTATAAATTTATAAATTAATAGTAAAAAGCAAAATGTATAATTTCAGGTGGTAAAGTATTGTTTTACTTGCTTATTGGCTCATTTATGGCAATGGGATTACATCCTGTGGCAGGCCATTTTATATCAGAACATTATATGTACAAGAAAGGTTTTGAGACATATAGTTATTATGGGTTTCTAAACCTTATTACTTTCAACGTCGGATATCACAATGAGCATCATGACTTTCCTGCAGTGCCTGGTTCGAGATTACCAGAAGTATGTCGAAAATTAATTAATTTTAATATATAATAAAATATAGCTTATTATTAATTTAACTATTTTATGCAGGTAAAACGTATAGCTGCAGAATTTTATGACAATTTGCCACAGCATAATTCGTGGGTTTCTGTCTTGTATGATTTCGTGATGGATCCTGAAATTGGGCCATATGCAAGAATGAAAAGAAGGCATCGTGGATTAGATCAATAGATTTATCAATTTTTCAAATTTTCTATAAGAATGTATCGCGTATAATATCATAAAATTTACTTCTATTATTATGAAAAATTGCATATTTGTAAAAGGATATAATTTAGAAATGTACTTTATCATTTGGAACAAAACACAAATGACACATGTTGGAAAATACGATAGCGTATTTGCCCATGTTGTAAATGCAAGAGAGATTAAGGATGATATTAATCTATAGTAAATATCTTTTCGATATTCTTATCTTATCAAGTTGTTCATATTTCATAAGTTTTTGTTTTCTACAATCTAGTCATGATACCAGCATTTTTTGACTAATTATTTAACTGAATTGTTCGGAGAAATTATTTTCTTTTAATTAGCACAATGAAGAAAATATAACATGATAAAATATAATACAATAAAAATATAACATGATATATTTTAAATTTTTTCTTCATAATATTGGATACCACATTTTGCTTTCTTTTAATGTTTTTATATGTTAATTATTAATTATTAATATTTTAGACTAAAACAAATTTAAATTTAAAAATATGATTAATTCTCTGTTTTCTATAATTTAATACATATAGAAGAGTATATTTCCAAATTATCTTCCAAAGTGATATAATCTGTATCAAAAATTGCTATACAAATCTTAAAAATAGCAAATTTATAATATGAAGGTATATTCTGTATATTTTTATATATAATAATTTTTTTTATGACATTGCCATTAAATACTCATCATTATAGTGTTTTAATGAAAAATATCCTTGATAAAATATGCCATATAATGTGAAATTGTATATATCATTTCAATTCTAATTGAAAATTATTTGTCAAAAATCATATTGTCCCGAAAAACTAAGAATATGATCAAATTAGACGTAAAATTGAATTATATCAAATTTTCTATTTATTTAATTGTACATACGCACATATTCAATTATGTTAAAAATTATATTTATTTCATAAGAAGTTGTAATATGAAGTAAAAATTATAATATTAAAAAAAAACATATGATATTAAAAAAATTATAATATTAAAATTATTATAATATTAAATTTATTATAATTTATTATAATAAATATGATATTTAATATTATAATAAATTTATTATAATAAATTTATTATAATATTAAATGTTGTATTGTTTTTTTAATATTATAATATTTAAAAAACAGTATGATATTAAAAAAAATTATAATATTAAAAAAACAATATGATATTAAAAAAATTATAATATTAAAAAAATTATAATATTAAAAAAATTATAATATTAAAAAAATTATAATATTAAAAAAATTATAATATTAAAAAATGTTTTTTATCATTATAATATCATTTATATTTATTAATGTATCCCAATTTTATATTATGTATGAATATAAAAGGGATTTTAATTTTTCTCGAATTTTTGTAATACAAATTAAATACGATATATAATCGAACAACCCTCAGAAATCCCATATGGTCTAGTGGCTAGGATACCTGGCTTTCACCCAGGAGGCTCGGGTTCGATTCCCGGTATGGGAAATTTTTTTTTTATTTCTATTTAGTTCAGACACGAACCATGTTACCGAGCCTAAAATTACTCCATAGGTAAAATAGATAGGTAAGATAGATCTCCCTTAAATGGCCGCTCTTTCTGCTTACACGAATTATCACGTGAAAAGATGAGGAGAGAATTTGACGATATACTCGCTGGCGACAAGCAGAAATGGTACCAAGAATACCAGAAAACAGAACAACCTTGCAAACATTCCGTGTCGGAAGTCGACGTGTTGCGTCTGAAAGATGAGGGAAAAAGATATCTGGAGGCGGAGACCGCGGCTTTTCAGTCGAAACACTCCAGGTCGCTTAACTCGGAGATGAAGTGGCTGAGGACGGCGTTGCAGCAAGGTATTATATTTATTTCATAAGAAGTTTTAATATGAAGTAAAAATTATAGTATTAAAAAAACAATATGATATTAAAAAAAAATTATAATATTAAAAAATTTTTTCAATCATAATTTAGGTACTACCTCGGATAAAATAGCAGCCAGCATAGTCTTGGTGCAGGATAATCCAAAGTATACCTTGGCTCGCCTGGTGTCTCTGGTGTCCCAAGTGCGAGGAGCGAAGCACAACCAGTGCGGCATGGTCATTATGTCTCTGAAGGAGCTCTTCCTGACTGATCTGTTACATCCCAAATTTAGGTTGTTGAAGTTGGAAGAACAGGACCTAGATAAGCTCGATAAAGGAAACGAATCAGACTCCATCGTCAAGACGAATGCCTCCAGAAATAGGCTGCTGGCGCATTGGTACTTTGAGGATCAGCTTCGCCAGCAATACGAGTCCTTTGTATTGAATTTGTCTATGGTAGCTTCCGACACAGTAGACACAAATCGTGAGAAAGCTATATCCGCGATGACAGATCTGTTGATAGGCAATGCTGAGCAGGAACACAAGTTGTTAGAGCTGCTTGTGAATAAAATTGGCGATCCACAGAGCAAAGTTGCATCTAAGGCTGTATTTTGCATCAATAAGTTATTGTACGAGCATCCAAATATGAAACTTGTAATTCTGCGTGAAATTGAAAAATTGCTGTTTAGGAAAAATGTGGGCCAGCGTACTCAATATTACGCTATATGTCTGCTGACGCAATTTGCTCTGGATAAGAATAACGATGTAATAGCTGCTACGTTGATAGAAGTGTATTTTGCATTTTTTAAAGCATGTTTGAAGAAAGGAGAACCTGATAGTAGGATGATGGCAGCGATTCTAATGGGTGTTAATAGAGCGTATCCTTTTGCCAAAATAGACTCGAAAATATTAAACGAGCACATCGATTCTGTCTATAAAGTAGTACATCTTGGATCCTTTAATGTTTCTCTAAATGCACTTAATTTACTGCATCAAGTAAGTACCATTGAATAGTATTTGTTGTGATCATTGAATAGCTTATCTTTGTATTTTCAATTAATTTATATTAAATCATATTTGATATAAATTATATTAATATTAATTTATATTAAATCATTTATATTAATTAATTTTAATTATATTAATTAATATTATAATTTTGTTAAATCATATTTAATATAAATTATATTTATATTAATTTATTTAAATCATGTATATTAAAAAATTTAAAAATTAAAAAATTTATATTAAATCATATTAATATTAATTTATATTAAATCATTTATATTAATTAAGTTACATTAAATCATTTATATTAATTAATTTATATTAAATCATATTTAATATAAATTATATTTATATTAATTTATTTAAATCATTTATATTAAAAAATTTATATTAAATCATATTAATATTAATTTATATTAAATTAAATTTATATTATATTTAAAAAAATCATTTATATTAATTAATTGATATTAAATCATTTATATTAAAAATATTATTATATTATAAACATTTGTTTTTTTGTTTTTTTTTTCAGATTATAGGCAAGGACGAATCACAGGCAAACAGATTTTATTCAGCCTTTTATAGAAAGTTATTTGATCGACAGATAGGAATAGCAAACAAACGTGCGATATTCCTGAATTTGTTGTATCGAGTTCTTCGGAAAGATCAAAGCATAATACGTTTACATGCTTTCATTAAAAGAATCTTGCAAATTACATTCTACTTTTCTGCAAATATGGCATGCGCTATTCTGTATATCGTTTCAAAAATTCTTCAACGCAAGGATCTAAAACATCTGTTGCTCGAGCCACAAAAATCTGTTAAAATCGAAAACGACGTATGCGAGTTGAACGATAGTCCATCCGATGTAGAGGAGGTTTGTATAGTAGAAAAATCGAAAAAGGAAAACTCCATTGTGTTATCAAATGTTACGATTGGCGCGGACGACACATCAGAAACGAGGCCTGATATAAAGGAAGAGCCGGACATAAAAGTTGACATGGAAAATATGAAGGCATACGATCCTTTCTGTCGTAATCCTCTTTATGCGGGAGCAATTACAGGATTTAACACTGAACTCCAAGCATTGTCCAGACATTTTCATCCGAGTGTCGCTTTATTCGCAAATCAAATTCTTCAAGGTGTGGTGAATTTTAACATAAATTTATTAATATTAATATTATTTATTTTAATATTAATATTATTAATATTACAATAAATAATATTAATATGAATATTAATAATATTGATATTAATAATATTAATATTATTAATATTAAAATAAGTAATATTAATATTATTAATATTATTAATATTAAAATAAGTCATATTAATATTATTAATATTAATATTATTAATATTAAAATAAGTAATATTAATATTAATATTAATAATATTATTTTTTAATATTATTTATTTTAAAATAAATAATATTAATATGAATATTAATAATATTAATATTAAAATAAATAATATTAATATTAATATTAAAATAAATAATATTAATATTAATAATAATATTAATATTATTAATATTATTTATTTTAAACAAATCAATTTTGTGTAATTTTTATTTGATATATGCGATGGTTATTTGTGAATTTCTTTTTTCTATTTTTAGGAGAACTGATTACGTACACGGGCGATCCGCTGGAGGATCTGACATTGATTCGATTCTTGGATCGATACGTCTTTAAAAATCCGAAGAAGCTGGATGACAAAAGGGTGCAGAGGAAGAACGACCCCTTGGCACAACGCGCCGGATACACACCTAAAGGGATACGCTCTTTGCCCGTTGATAGCATGGCATATCTCAACGAAGCAGAAGAGCGAATACCAGTGGATGAGGTATTTCTCTATCGATATCTAAAGAGGAGAAACGAGATGAAGCAGCGTGTCAAACGAGAAAATGAGGATGATAATGAAGACGTGGAAAGCGTTAATAGCGAGGAATTTAATGATATGCTGGATCATATGGGTAGCGGTCAAGATTTTGACGATTTGGATATTGCGGCAAATATCGTACCTGGGAAGAAGAAAAGTAATATTATACATCATATAAAATATACTTTTTTGTCTTTATATTTATATTAATTTATTTAAATCATGAATTTTAAAAAATTTATATTAAATCATATTAATATTAATTTATATTAAATTAATCTTTTTTAAAATAAAGCTAATAATAAAGCTTCTTTAAAAGAAAACAAAAGAAATAGACAATTAATAATATAGATAATTATAGAAATTATTTTTATTCTTTCTTTATAATTATTTTTATTATTTTTAGAAGACAAGAGAAATAAAGATTTTGACGATAATAATGATGAGGATAGTGATGATCAGGATGATATTAGCGATAATGATGATATATCAGAAGATCTTAAAGACGATATCGCGGATGACGAGCAAGATTTAAGCGATATTGATTTTGGAGAAATGGATAATGAGGAAGATTTGAGCGATATAGAATTTAACGATTCCGATGATGGAGGGATCTTAGATGATGAACTAATTTCTGGTTTAAATAAAAAATTGATGAAAAATTCGATGAGCAAAGGGAAGAAAAAGGGAAGAGGAATTGACAGTGATATATTCATGTCGGCAGAGAAATTCGCCGAGATGCTGGAAGAGCAAAGCAGAACCAAAGGAAAGCACGGTGGTAGTAATACTTTTAACAGCAGCGACGGTGCTAGCGTCAAACAAATAGATTGGGAAACAAAACGGCATCAACGATTAAAAGGATCATTTAGTAAGAATAAGCGAAAAGCTGCCCAATTTAATAATAAACAGGCTAAAAAATCCAAAAGATAAATATATAATAAACACGTTTTATAGAGATAATTTCGTTTACATTCGTTTACAATAAACCTCTTTTTTCCGATTATTCTAAATCGATATTATTCTAAATCGATATTATGATCAAGATATAGAACAATCTGAGAGAACGATGAACACTTATTCAATTATTTGCATCATTAGTTGCACTTTTATCTTTTTGTAAAATTTTTAGGCAAGATCATAATATATATAGTATTAATCATTACTATATATATTATTGTTATATATTGTTATATATTATTACATATATACAATATATGATATTATACATATATATATATATATATATATATATATATATATAAAATTAATGTATATATAATATATATAAATATATATAAATATATATATATATATATATATATATATATATATTTACATACAATAATATATAACATTGATATGATTTCGCCATTACATTTCATAATACAAATGTTCTGTTTTCATTAATATAATTTTTGATATGATTAATCATGATTCAAATAATTCAAATAATAGAATGCGATATTTTAAGATTAAGTCGTCTTTAAACAATAATATTAGATCATTATATCCAAGGGATTTTTAATTAAGAAATATTAAAAAATATTATGTAAATTATATAAAACTAAATCATAATTCTTTGACAATTTTTCTTGACAACTTATTTTCATTGAAAAATATGACTTTCTGTTACAATTGATGTACGTTAACCAGATGTGCACATTTTAAACTTTCAGACAAACGATAAATATGCGATTTTTTTTCAATTTATGTTTATATAAAATACTGTAATACAAGAAAAATGCAGAACATTTAGAAAAAAATTAATTCAAGAGAATATTACTTTATAATTGATTGTGTGCTTTATAATTGACTGTCACTATTTACTAATAATATTTACTAATATGTAATTTTTCTTGAAATATTAAAAAAAAAACTTTTGTGAATATGTATATATACACATTAAAAATATTCTCACGGGAGTTTTTAAGCGATAGTCTTTTAAACATGAATTTAAAGTGCTGCTTTTTTTCTGCACATTAAACATTAAACACAATATTTAATATCTATACAAATTACCTATTTAGCCTCCAAATCTTCAACAAAATGTTTAAAATCTAAAGAAATTATCAACTAATGAGCGTAAAATATAGTGCAAATAATTATATATAGTATAATATATATAGATATTAATTATAATATATATTATAATATATACAGTATAATATATATAGATATAATATATATAGTATAATAATAGCAATTCAGGCAACACTTTTTTTTACTTTAATATCGTTAACAGCAATATAGATAAAATGAGAAATTAGAGAAAAACTGTAAGGGAAAATAGGTCTTTCATATAGATAAAAATTGTCCATTCTAATCAATACATGTACAACAGGACAGTGCCAGCTCGCTTATAACTCTCCAAAGTTTTTTTAAAAAAAATGATAAATCTATATTTTATTTGCAATGTGTGCAATGACAATAGATAAACTTGCAAGTTGTTCAGTTATTTTATTACACGTATTTAAAAAACGTTAAATGTGATATATCCTAAAGCGAGCTGTATATATGTATCTGTAAGCTGGACGCTACTCTGGATCAGGTTTGGTAGAGTTTTCCTCATCATGAGTAGGGCTGTGCCACGTAAGTCGTTCCTCGTAAAATTTAATGACAATTTGTGGGCACTTTTCGTTGGCGATGCGAGCAGGTACTAAATCTGCATCATCCGTTCCCTTCCACTTCATTAAAAACATCAGTTCGCCGCTGGAATCTGTCGCGCCAATGATACGTTCGGGTTCCAAGTTTCTATCAAATCCTGTAACATGAATATTTGCAGTTAAAAAAATTAAATTCAACAATTATTCATTAAAAATTAAATTCAATAATTATTCATTAAAATAAACAGTGGCTTTAATTTCTTATAAAAAGCAAAAAAACAAAAGGAAAGAAAGAGTATAATAAAAAAAAATAAAAATAAAAACCACAAATTTCATAGAATTTTCGATGCTTCCCTCCTTTACCTTCCGCCTTCTTCTCCTCTACTACTGACTTCTTTTTAGCCGGAGTAGGTGTCGGTGTGCTGGCACTTTTTCGTTTCTTCTGCTCTTTCTCTTCGTGTCGTTTTCCTGACGCCGCCGCCTCCTTCTTTTTCCGTTGCTCCTCGAACTGAGCGATTAAATCGGGGCAATCTAAATTTTCCTCAGGCTCCCAGGTGTTCTCATCATTTGAATATCCTTTCCATTTCAGGAAATACTCCACCTACAATCCAGAGAGAAATATCTATTTAAAATAAATCTTATCTTACAAGGTCTAAACGACAGAAATCTTACATACCTTTCCCTTCACGACTCTTCTATCTAAAACTTTTTCCACGCTGAATTCCTCCTCTGTCTCATTATCCGTCGGAGGAGACTCCTTGACCTTGCTCATTATGGCTCGTTATACACTGTAAATATGAGGATTAAATAAGTTTTATTAATTCTTTTTTTTCCCTGGAAAGTCATTTAGGAAGATATAATAAAAAACAAAAATATAGAATTTCTGAATTCGTACAAACGTGATAAAGTAACCTACAGAAAACTCTCTCTCGCTTTCTCTACCAAAGGGCTACCATCAATTACTTAACTTACAGTAATATAACATAAATATATATATATATATATGCAATTAGAATAGGTTTTCTTATTATGAATAATAATTAAATCGGATATATTCCCAATAGTAAAAAAATATAGAAAATGGAAGGAAAAAAAGGGCTATTCGAGGCAGGTTGGCAAGTGTAATCGTATGGAAGGAAAAAAAGGGCTATTCGAGGCAGGTTGGCAAGTGTAATCGTACATGCTTGCTCATGATGTTTATATCATATTGAGATCATTCACAAGCGAGAGATCCAAATTGCGTGATTCTCCCAAGACCGGAGAAGGACTTCGCGTGTTCGCACGATTAATCACAATCGGCGGTTCGGATGCAAAATGGCGGAGATGAAAGCGGTGGCGGCGTCGAGTTTACCGGTACTCGTGACTTCGCGTGCAATCGCGCGAAGACAACGCGATTTACCCGCGCTTATGGCGCATTCGTGATAAGGATAACGGATACTCACATAAGGCCTCGTTAAACCACGTCCAAAAAATCCTCCCCGATATTACAGCTCGCCGAAAATTGCTCCTTTTGTTGCGAACGCGCAGCTTCTCGATTGTTTGCGGTGCGTCACTCGCGATCCCGCGCGTTGCCGCGAAAAATGTCAGGCTGGTCAACTGTCCGGCGCGAAAAATCCTTAGGCAACCCCTAGGGAATTAATCTGTAGTTAGGTTGGTGTGATCTGGGAACTTTCCAGCACAGAGAAGACTGATAGCGTTTTCGATTTGTCGGGATTAATAATTATTATTAATCAATAAAGTAATAATTATTATTAATTAAATTATTTATATTTTTATTTATATTATTTATGTCACCACAGAGGCACATATGTTACCCTTTTTTGAGAATATTCGTGGATTTCAATCGCTCTGGGATAGTTCACTAGACGTTATTTTTTTTGACCAATCAGTCATTCTTCTGAAGAACATATGGTTACATTCTACAAAAGAATGGCTATGAGTCAATAACGTCTAGTAAATTATCCCGGAACGATTGAACCCGACGAGTCCACGAATGTTCTCAAAGGGTAACATATGTGTCTCTCTGATGATATAAATAATATAAATAAAAATATAAATAATATAATTAATAATTATTATTTATTATATAAAAATATTAGTATGTTTTCTCTTTTCACGCTATTAGTTATTTATTTATTTATGCGTTTTTTTTCTTCTCTCAACATCATTTATTTATTTATTCATTTATTTAGCTTGCTCTAAGTCAGTCTTTTAAAATGCAAAATTAAATATTATAAAATTTGACTTTGGAAAAGCGCGATAAAATAATCGAATAAATTCAAATCATTAGCATAACAAACCCAGGTAGAACATGAAACTCATGACATCATTATGACGTCATGATTTTATCACTTAAAAGTTAAACAGCTAAACAAAAATTATTAAAAAATGAGTTAAAGATGACAAAAAGAACCATAAATTTTTCAGTTCAATAATCGCATTATATAATTTTAAAAAGATTATGTTGCTTAAATATAATTAAAATATACATGAATAATTAAATAAACAAGTAATTGCGTAATATATATAAAAAATAGTATTAATAAGTCACCAAAACATTGCCAAAAGTATATCAAATGAGATCATTATGATTTTTCTAAAATAACTTTTAGGTGATGTCATAATGATGTCATTATGAGTTTTATGTTCTACCTGGGATTATAATATAATTATTATATATTTAATAATAATTTAATAATTATTTATTATATACAAATATTAGTATGTTTTCTCTTTTCACGCTATTAGTTATTTATTTATTTATGCGTCTTTTTTTTCTTCTTTCAACATCATTTATTTATTTATTCATTTATTTAGCTTGCTCTAAGTCAGAATTATAAAATGCAAAACTAAATTATTATAAAATTGGACTTCGAAGAAGCGTGGTAAAACAATTGAATAAATTCAAATCATCATAACAAAGGGATACATCGATCATTTAATAATTAATTTAAAATAAAATATACCTTTATAATTTAAAATTCCGCGTGTATATGTGGTACGTAAAATATTTCGGCAGAGAATTATCAATAATATCATGTTTGGCCTTGGCGACGTATGCGCGCTATACATATCACGGCTTTGTTATCATTCGCACGGTAACTCTCGAGTAATAAAGTAGTGATGAGAAACGCTTCGTATATTGTAATTTTTGTACTAAACACGATTACGATTAGTATCAAAACATAATTTGTTATAAATATTAATGTATCGCAACGATAAATCTTTATCGAATCGTAATCATTCATTACTGCGAATAAAAATTGAAACAGGGGATATATGAAAGGGGACAAGAGAATTAAATATATTATGATCTTTTGATCATCGATGCTTATTATAATATTTCTTTAATAATATTAGAATTAAATATATTTCCAATGCTTTAAATATTCTCAGTTCTTGTTAATTAAACAATATACAATTTAATCGAGAATCGATAAAATGATAGGAATTCAACATATTAAATAATTACCTCGATGATTGCAATCTTTACGAAAAATAATTATTATTTTAATACTTAGAGTCACAAATATATTCCATCCGTGTTAGTTTATTATTCTACACAAATTCTTGACAATCTAAATATAATTGGGGGGGAGATTGCGAGAAAAGTAAAACAATCGAATTATAGATACAAATAATTAGCATAACGAAAGACTTCAAGATGAATGGTTTAATAAATAATCGATTAATCTTAATCAATAAATTAAAATACTTCTATGATTTAATATTCCGCGCACGAATATTTTATATTACAGAAAATATTTCGACAACGAGAGAATTATCAATAACCGTGTTCGACCTTAATAAACAGTATCGCGCTATTGTTAATATGTTACATGGCTTTATATTGTCGTTCACACAGTGACTTTGAGTAGTGACGTGTGAGACGTTTCACATATTATCAAATTCTTTCTACCCATAGTCACCCTTGGCCATATAAACAGTACCGCGGTAATATTTCTGACTTACAATCATTCGCTCAGTGACTCTTGAGCAGTGAAATATTGATGTGAGACGTTTCATATATTATCAAATTCTTTCTCTAAACACAATTACACGTTCAACGAGAAACTTTTCGCGAATGAGTGTAAGTGCAAAGAATTCAAATGAGTGCAACGAGGTTGAAGTGCCACGAGGAAAAAGCGAAGAAAGCAAAAGAAAAAAGGAGGTTTTGGAAATGGATGGATCAATAAGATATGATGTAAGTCATTAATATAAATTATTTATCATTATTTATTATATTGTTGCGTCCTGTCCCGCTGAATGTATTCCTCATCCGTTGAATTCTTTCGGCGGGAAGTCTGTCGACGGAAGAAGATCATTTCCGCGCGTGTTGTCAACAATGTTGTTAAACAACGATTGTCAGAGAATCTGAGCCCAGCTGTCAAGTTGAGCGGATGTTTATTGCGAATTAAAATTTATATAATATATTACAAAATTTATTATATATTATATTATATATAAAATTATATATAATATAATATAACCCTCCCATGGGGTACACCTTGTCGCGGTGGGAGGGCTTAGTACTTGGATGGTGCCTTAAGATTTATCTTAAATTTTTCAATTTATGATAAATCTTAAGGTGCCTGAATGGGAAGCTAAGTACCCTTTCGCGTCATCGGCGCCGTCAACGCGTCGCGTTAGGTATATATTAATATGTATTAAGGAGTGCGTTAAAGGTATATACATATTAAGTATATACATCGCGCATCAAATATAAAATTTTTAATCGCATCGAAATAGTGCGGGAGTGCCGTTCAGTATCGAGCGTAAAATAACGAAAATAGCGATAAAAATATCGCTCGCGAGTGTGGAAGTGTCGTTAAAAGTATCGCGCGCCAACAACATGAGAGGAGGAGGAGGCCTCGGGGAGGCATCGGGTAGAGCACCTTTCTGGTAAGCAATTTATTTATTTGTAATTATATATCAAATATTATATATATTTATTATAATTTAAATTAATTTAAATTAAACAATTAATCGCAACAATTAATTTGATGTTTTTATTTATATTTTTTTATTTATATTTAATTAAGGCAGAATTAAAGAAAAAGATTTTTAAATTAAAGCTATAATTTTATAGAGGTGTAAGCTTTTATAAGGTTATAAGAGAATTATTAGTAATGTTTTTTAAAATTTGTAGAATTGTAACATAAATTATCTTAATATCGTTAGTCAATTAATCAAAGGATCGTTGGAAATAATATAATCGATCCAAATTAGCCAGAAATTTTTTGTTTATTTATTACGACGTTTCGATCATATGGTTGTGGTCCTTTTCAAGTAAATAAGATCAAATGAGTTCGTTGACGAAATCTCACACCAACACATCGTTTTTATCTCTCGATTTTAAATTTATTAAGATGTAATGATCGTGCAAATGTGACTTGTGCATTTTACAACACTATGATTATATATTTATATCTGTCATTTAATCTTACTTTAAAAGACTACAACCATGATCGAAACGTCGTAATAAACAAAAACTTTCTGGCTAGTTTTGGTCGATTATATTATTTCTAACAATCCTTTTATAGAATTATTATATTAATCTGCTATTATTATATGCATCGAATATAACATTCAATGTATAAAATAATTTTTAAAATATTAATTATTTTGAACGCTGATACATTGGAATCTTTTTTTGTTTGTTATAGATCGATGCAACAACTCTGATAATCTGAAAGGAGGAGCAGGCCTAGGAGAGGCATCCGGCGGAACAATCTGATGGTGAATATTATTTATATATTAATTATTACAAATCGTTAACTTGAATATAAACAATAATTTGATCTTATTATTTAAATGAATTAAAGAGAAAGATTTTTATAAAAGTCATATAAAATTTTCTATTTAAAAAACAGTTTCAAAAATTTATAAAATTTTTCCATGCGTGTTTCTGCTTATTATTTTACACATTGGATATAAAATTTCGTGCGATAAAAATTGTTTTAAATATTAATTGCATTTTGTGAGCATTATTATAAATAAATTTTATATTTGTATGTTACAGACAACTAACTTTGATAACAACAACTCCGCTATTGCACATCAGTGACGGTGAGTGAAAAAAACTTTTATTTAACTTTAAGGCAACGGATTCGTAGAGATTGCAGATGTAGATGTAGATTGTAAATTGTAGATACATCCGTTGCCTTAAAATGGATGAGCTAGGAAATTAAATTAAATAAATTAAATTAAATAATTAAATTAAATTAATTAAATTAAATAATTTTAATAAGTTCTTTCGAACTTATGCTTTACATCTATTGCGAAAATATATTGAAATATTAATTAAAAAAAGAAGAGGTCTTCAAGAAAGGATTTTTTTGTAAAGATTTTGTCTAATTTATTAAATAAAGGACACCCAACAATTATTAATTAACAACATTAATTTTATTAATTTTTGATGCTAATTTATTCTTATAATACGCACTTATTTTCTAATTGCTCATAGCTCATCCATCGTAGAATTTGTTTGTAGATATTGTTTTTAAACTTTACTTTAACTTAATATAAAGCCAAATGATTAATTAATTAAATAATTTGTAATATGATAAATATACACACATTTATG